CTTCTTTTCACACGTTGTCATTCCTCCTCACTCCTCCCTCTTCCCTCTATCCTGTTTTGTTACTCCTATCACGGATGTCACGCACTGCATCTCTGCAGCTTCCAATTTAGGAAACTGCATAGGAAATACATCAGAAACAAAGAGTGAGAGTGAGAGATATAGAGAGAGAGTGAGAGAGGGGGAGAGAGAAATAAGTCAGGGAAAAAAGCGCCCAAAAAGTACAATAAAGAAAGAGAGAGAGAGAGAGAAAGACCTGGATACAGAGACAGAACTGGACAGTCAAATTTGTCAAATTACATGCATTATGGATCTTGTAGAAAATTGATGCACAGAGAATAATCTTTTAAAAGGTAGTCATCATGAAGGATGTGCTTTTACAAAAGCCAATGAAATGATAATAAAAACCTAATATTCCTGATAATACCCATTAAAGTATGACAAAAGAAGAAGAAAAAAAAGTGGGGGAAAATCCCACAACAAAATTATATTACTGTGGGGCGGGACCTATCTTCCCAAGATATGAAAGTGTTATATAGAGATTGGGACTGACATGTACAGTGTACATCAAAGGATGTATCATGCAATTTGCATAAATTAACTCCAGTCTGTAGGAATACATTTAGTTTTAATAGAATGTAGATGTCACACCAACATTTATGTTTTCCTTAATAATGATTGGTTAGTGATCACCCATACCACAGAAACATGATCTTGACAAAAAGGCATGTCGTATGTGAAAAGAATGAGAGGAGTAGCACATGTCTATACGTTGATTAAAAATCCTTAGTATGATTTGATGAATAAATGCAGCATTCCATCATCCAGTAAACAAAAAACTTTAAAGGGGTGCACTTGCAATTCTATAAAGAGGAAAGTATTATAGATAATGCATAATGCATACTTTCAAGCAATCGTGACATCTTCAGGAAACATGGCCGACAAAGAAAACAAGGTTTGTTTGTTTGTTTATTTATTTGTTTGTTTGTTTCCCTCACTGCTTAGATAGCATGTGTATGCTTTAAAGGTCATTTTAAACCCCTCTTCATCAAATTTCTCTATTTCGTAATTCAAAACCCAAATTAGAGCAGGGTCTAAATAAGCTGTTAAAATGATTCCAGCAAATTGCACCGCCACATTCACCTTGAAGATATCTAGAATTGAACCGATTTCATTTTCCCATGCATGCCATTCTTTCATTTCTAACACGGTAATCATTCAAAAGTAATTATTGATGGACAGGAAATTGAAATACCAGAGATCCTTTTTTAAATAAGTAACTTAATCTTGTCAGGTAAAGTTTGTTTTGCAAACAGCCCACATCCCCGTATCTCTCGTTAACGTCGCCCCCGGTATCTAAAAACGGCCATGAATCCTCCCTTATGCATGAGGTATGAGGACAAGGAGAGCGCCAGCCTAAGTAGTGGTGACGGATGGGGGTGAGACGGGGTGAGAGGATGGTGAGAGAGAGGAGAAGTGTGCTTCAGTTCCAGGAGGACGGGTTGACATTTTACTGAGAAGCTCTTCACCGCCGCGTAACAACCATGATCTATATTGCCCTCGTTCTGCCTCCGCAGGGAGGGGGAGGCTTGGGAATATGGGGAGTTTAAAGATAAAGCTTTAGTTCTGGTCATGATAGAATATAAATTCTCACAAACTCCAGCAGAACTTACACTGAATGTTTAAGATTACAAATAAAATACATGGGAATACGGGTAGTTTAAAGATAAAGCTTGAGTTCTGGTAATGAGAGACAATGAATTCTCACAGAATCAAAGAATACTTACACTGAATGTTCAAGATTACAAATGAAAGACATGCATGTGCCAAACGATTTTGGTAGAAATTGTATAGGGGCCGAGTAATGAGCATATAGAAAGATAAGGAAATCAAGGTAAGAAGGCACAACGTGCTTAACACAGGTCACTATGTGCAAATGAGACTTGCAGTTTTATTGATGATGATTTCCAGCAAGTTTTTGCGAGGTTGTTTTTTATTTTACTAGTTCTAACGATCAATCTTCTGCAGGGTAAACAATCCAGAATGAATTAAAGCCATGTTCTCTCGCCATATGATGCCCATACCAGAGCTCAACATCAGCTTTAAGGTATGGGGTGTGATTCGAAAAGATTTTCACCATCCATGATGTACATGTATCATGTACCGTTTTTCCTCCGTAGGAAGGGGGTAGGCAAGGAAATAGGGTGTGGGGAGGGGGCAAGGAAATAGGGGTGGGGGTTAAGGTATGGGGTGCCATTAGCAGAAGCTCCTCACTAAAATGTACCAACCATGATCTATCTTGTCCCTGTTGGGCTGGGGAATCAGGAGGTCTATAATGTACAGGGTGCAGTCTGTGGAAATCCATTCCTTGCAATAGGTTTATTTGTATGAAAGCAGGAGGATGAGATAAACATGATGGCCAAAGTTTGAAATAAATTGGACCAACAAGAAGAAATTTTTGAACGTTTGAAATATGCGATCACTAAGGACAGATGTGAATCTCAAATTGGCAGAATTGTTAGTGGAATGTGATGTATTAGCGGATAACTCTGTTTGTCATGTTCAAAAATATGATTCATTTCTGTTTTTCTCCTAAGTGCTTTCTCGCTTGGAGCAGTACTTGAAATATACATGTACCGGTAGTATGGATATAATGTACATGTTGCATTTCATTATAGGTCCTCTCAGGAGGAAAAAAGACCCTCCTGAGTCATACATTCTTGAAAAATTGTAATCTTAGTAATTTTGTGTGTTGGAACAAAAGGGAAACTTGTTCGCCACTTCCATAACTGAGACATAACCGATTCAGCCATTTTGAAGAGCCCATACCTACAGGTGTGTATAATGGTTATAACTTTCAAAAATGTGTAACATTCTCAAACTTTCACCAGTCTACTTCTCTGAGTTTCCGCTTTCCTCTAGAGTAGTTTGTTATCAAGGTTGGATTTCCCTTTAAGGTGTATTTGTGTGGGTTGGTTTACTGCTTGTTTGTATGTGCATGGGAGTTAGGGATGAGGGCATAAAAAGATAAGAAAGATGGATAATGGGGAGAGAAAATGAAGTGGGAGGAAGAGATACGCATGAAAGAAGATGGGAATGAGAATATGAGTGAGAGAAAAAGTGAGGTGAATGGAAAGACAAGGAGAGAGAGAGATGGGGAGGAGAGAGAGAGAGAGAGGAGAAAGAGATAAAAGAGATATAGAAGAGGGGAAAGAGAAGAGAAAATGAGAGAGAGAGAAAGTGAGGTGAATGGAAAAACACGGGGAGAGAGAGAGAGAGAGAGAGAGAGAGAGAGAGAGAGAGAGAGAGAGAGAGAGCGAGAGGGAGAGAGAGAGAGAGAGAGAGAGAGAAGAAAGAGATAAAAGAGAGAGAGGGGAGAAAGAGATAAAAGAGAAATAGAAGAGGAGGAAAGAGAAGAGAAAATGAGTGAGAGAGAAAGTGAGATGAATGGAAAGACAAGGAGAGAGAGAGAGGAGAGAGAGAGAGAGGTGAAAGAGGAGAAAGAGATAAAAGAGAAATAGAAGAGGGGAAAGAGAAGAGAAGAGAAGAGAGAGAGAGAGAGAGAGGGGAAGACTGAGGAGGGAGGGAGGGATGAAGAGAGCGAGGGAGAAAGAAAGGGGGTGAGGAGTGGGATGAATAAAAAAATGGACACAAGACATACATGTTCATGTACATGTCTGAATGCAAAGGAGATGGGAGCAGGGGATGTAAAAATAAAGGAAGCGGATACAAATAGATTTACAATTAATTGATAAAGAGAATAATGCAAAGATAGCTGTTTCCTAGAACTAAGGCCACTGGCAATGTTTTCCAATTGATATATTCATCTGGTAAATATCTGGATTGCTGGATTATGCTTAATATCTAGTTCCCAGAATCTCTGGTAATAGAAAAATATTTTATCATGAATAGATAAGAGCTCTAGAGAAAAAGGGATCCCATATGAAGATTGCTCAAGAGACAGTTAATATGAACACTGAACAATAACAACCTAAAGAAGAAAAAAATTACAATTTAGTCTGCATTATTCTAATCATAGATAAAGTGATATAAAGTGAGGGAGGGAGAGAGAGAGAGAGAGAAAGGGAGGGAGATGAGGAAGATTGATGCAATGATGCATCAATAGTTTAATATCCATTCATCATGTCTTCATAATGTTCTAAAAGAGGCACAGGGGAGCGATATGCCAAGGAAAACTGCATAATTATAACATATATATATATAACAAAACTAGAATTATGAGAAATATCTTTTAAGTGTCCATGCAAGTTTAATGCAATTATTTCAGAAAGGAAATAAGGAACTCAAACTTGTACAGGATGTTCAAGCAAAACTTCAAATAAAGGGTATCAGCAAAAAATGAAAATGATACAAGTAATAAAACTATAAATTTCAGATCGCATTTGTTTATTTGATCATATTTTTGCTGATCCAAACAACTTCTCTATTGCAAATCACACACACACACACACACACACACACACACACACACACATACTTGTAAGGACCTGGAATTGGGGGTATGGTTTTGTCACCGGAAAACAGGGACATTTTACTTAATCAATTACTTGAATTCTAATTATCAGAATGTTATCATAAACAATTCATTTATACCAAAAACAATTTGCTTTCATTTGGGTTTGTTTGCATTCAAAGTGGGGGTTCTCACACATATTTTTGTTCTTTTTAAGGAACTCTATATAAACGAGTGGGAGCACTGGCGGCTCTGTTTTTTTAAAAACTGTTACAGTTCTCCTTGGATCAGATATAGACCTAATCAATGTCTGTAGAACTTTGCAGGAATTATTAATATGTGACGTCTGTCCTATCTGTGAAATTGAAACGTTAGCAGTGTCCTAGTATTCACACTCTCAATCTCTATCTTTCCCCCTCTCCCCCCCCCCCCCCCCATCCCTCTCTTTCTCTCCTCGATCCGTCCCCCTCTCTCCCCCAATCTCGCTCAATTTCTCTCGATCTCTTTAAAAAAATATTTGTATGTATACCTTTTAATACTTTTGTGAGACTTCTGTAGATTCTGTTGATTCGTAATCATCTGTGGTAAGCTCTGCTCCAGGATGAGGAAAGAAAGATCAAGAGAGTTCAAAATAACAGGAAATAGCAACCACCTCTTATCCGGCCTAGGCCCATTTTGTCATTAGACCAAAATATGCGGTTTCACTTTAGAAAATGTTTTGAGAGTGTTGGAAATGTGCTAACATAATCATGACCATGTATTTTATGTTTGGTTTCGTTTAAAATTATATATTTAAAGTACTAATTTTGTCATACATGTTTGATTTTATCTGCCACAAAAGTTTTCGGCCGTGATGATTATTATCTGTGTCAAGCCATTATGTATGGAAATTATTTCTTTAATTATTTGTATATGATATTTGGATATACTGTATATGATGGAATTTGTTTTGAAAATAAAGAACCCTGTGGAAGGGGAAAAAAAAAAAAAAAAAAAAAATAGTTCATAGCCATTTAAGTTATGGATTTTTTGCAAACTCTGTTTAAAATAATAAAAACTAAGTAGAACGGCCATAATACAAGTAAGGCCTTACGACCAAAAAAATAAATAAAAACAAATATATGCGATTTACAGCTGATTTTCTTCGAAAGCAACAAGGATTTGGTTTTTGTCATTTTGTCATTAGACCAAAATATGCGGTTTCACTTTAGAAAATGTTTTGAGAGTGTTGGAAATGTGCTAACATAATCATGACAATGTATTTTATGTTTGGTTTCGTTTAAAATTATATATTTAAAGTACTAATTTTGTCATACATGTTTGATTTTATCTGCCACAAAAGTTTTCGGCCGTGATGATTATTATCTGTGTCAAGCCATTATGTATGGAAATTATTTCTTTAATTATTTGTATATGATATTTGGATATACTGTATATGATGGAATTTGTTTTGAAAATAAAGAACCCTGTGGAAGGGGAAAAAAAAAAAAAAAAATAGTTCATAGCCATTTAAGTTATGGATTTTTTGCAAACTCTGTTTAAAATAATAAAAACTAAGTAGAACGGCCATAATACAAGTAAGGCCTTACAACCAAAAAAAATAAATAAAAACAAATATATGCGATTTACAGCTGATTTTCTTCGAAAGCAACAAGGATTTGGTTCTTCTATGATTATAAACACGACGATATAGTTTTTCATATATATATCATATGTATTTTTACAATATGTGACCAAGACAATTTTCCATGTGTTCTTGTGAATTTGGATGAATACAAAGAATTTGATTTAACACAAAAATTGAAACCAATAAACAATAAATATCAATAACAATGTAATATAAAGGAGGGCTTTCTTTCCAAATCACAGTTCAGTTGCACAATTACAAAAAGCATGCAAACATTTTGAATGTACATACATCTTCTGCACTTGAATCACAGGTTCTCCTCTTCCGCCTGCTACATCGGGTGGCCACAGTGGCGAATCCAGGGGGCGCCCCCCCCCCTTGGGAAAAAACCGTGTAAAAACACGTTAATTTTACCTTTTTTTTGGAGATGCCCCCCCCCCCCTGGCGCTCAAGGGGGGGGGGTTAATTTTTCAAATTTTAGAGGGCCAAAAAAAATTAGTGCTCATAACCCGAACATTGCACAACCATCCCCCTGCCAAAGAGACGGATAATGACAAGAGAAAGAGAGAAAGAGAGAGAGAGATGATGGGGAGGGGTGTACGTCAACAATACTAGGAAAGTTGTCATGCTGCCCTTTTAATTCTCAATAACTTATAATCGTCTGCACTCCGTGAGGTCATTTAGCCGTGTTAACCGATGGAAATGAAGGAAGATGGAGAAAGAAAGAGAGAGAGAGAGGCGCGCGCACACCCACGCACACACACACACACACACACACACACACACAAATCTCAATAGATTTCAGCCTGTTCCTTCTAAAACACAAATCTACATGTATCTATCAAAACCCCAAATAAGATTTGAGTATACAGGAAAGCTAAAAAATACCTGTCAAAAGATAATCTCTTAGGAGATCATTTTTTCTTCACATTTAAAATCTCCTTGAGGCTATTCAGTCATTGAGTAGATGTTCGTTTTTTCAATTATTCTTTAAAATTCAATCTGTTTGCTGTCATAAGTGACTGGTAAGAAGAACTGCCTCTTGAATATTAATAAAGTTTCTGAATGGGTACTTTGATAGTGTTGATTGCGATACCCTGGGATTTTACAAGTCTATCATGCCAGAGTAGAATTATCTTTAAAAGGTAAGTATAAGCTTCATATTGGATGTGTAAATCCATGATCTTGAATAGAGCGAGTGATTCCCAGTAGTATAGCTCTTGGGAGGATGGTTGTCGTGCTGTGTCTATACCATTTGGTTAACTGCAATTGATGGAAAACTGCTAGGCCCTAATGATCATTTATCAACAAAATCATGTATATGTTGTTGACTTTGTATTCTCATCTATATTATGTATAGTGCCAAGAGCATTTTTTTTTTCAATTACAAGATTGAGCATGCAATCTTTATTTACTGGGTGAAAGCCAAACATTTCTTCCAGGAAGCCTAACATTGAAAGAGCATCATGCTTAATGGACCCAAGAATCTGACTGTCCAGTTTAATCTCTGTATCCAAGAACTTAAAGAAACATTTTTTAGTATTATTAATATTATCAAAGGTGGCATACACATTGTAAAGCAAACAACAATTATGATTACACCTCCAATTCTAATACTTGATTTAATTTCATGAGATTATGCCCAAGAAAAATCCCATCATCTACAATACACTATTGGTATGTACATGCACATACATGTACTTGCAGCTGTACAGATATCATACAAAATATCTATTTATCAACCTCTGAACATAGGGAAAGAAAACAGCTGTAAAGAGACATAATTTCAATTGCCTCTAGGCATAAACTTTGTAGAACATGTAAGAGGTTCATACAAGAAAATCATCATCATTACCATCATCATTATCATCATCATCATCTATACATGCCTACAGTGTATGTACATGCTCTGCACTCATGTACAAAACAAAACACTATTTTTCAAAGTCTATTTTGCTATGTGTGAACACAGTGAAAAAGAAAACAGCCATAACAAGAGATTATTTCAAATAGCCTCCAGGTACCACCTGCCCCATCTGTATTATTTACTAAGGACGGAGATGGCAATGAACCTCATCAATCTGGCTCATGTATTCAATCTCCATCACATTGATGATGATGATGATGATGATGGAGTATAGTATCCATGGCAACCATGTGGTGCAACAGGTAGTGTGTGTGGGTGTAGGGGTCGACTGAGGTCAGGGATGCACAGGGCTTACTTAGCTCACATGTGCAATCAATCACACTCCTCTCTCACTATTAAGTGCTAGGAGGAGTGAAATTGAAGGGGAAAAAAAGAAGATTTTTAAAGAAAACAGAGGCACTTGCAAAGTTTCAACACCGTACAAGTGAGCAGGGAAAATCAAATGCCACTGACTTGGTGCATTGTTTGATGTTTGAATTCATGCACTCAAATTTGCTGCCATTTCCATTTCGTCTTATTTAAACAAATTATAGAATCAAGGAAAAGCATTGTAACATATAAAGTGGCATATGGAAATAAAGTTTCAAACCTTAACCAGCAATAATGTAGAGTAAGAAAAATTGAATTATACAATTTTTATATTTGTCACCTGTAAATGCGTGATATCATCATAGCTTAGAAGAGAGGAAAAAGAAAAGGATTGAATCATCATTCAATATACTCTTCTCAGATCTCAAAGGGCATTGATTGAAAAGCTAATGGTATGCATTAACACCTTTTTGGCTCTCACCTCTCAGCTGACAATACAATAGTTATCCATACTGTATCCCCCTCCCCCTCCCCCCCCCCTCTCCCCCTCTCCCCCTCTCCCCCCCCCCCCTCCTCTTCGCCCTCCCCCTCCTCCTCCTCCCCCTCTCCCTACCCCCTGCTCAGCTGATGATACAATCATTATCCATGAGTGATGAACATGAACTTCCAAGCTATACTAGTTGCCAAGTTTTATATCAACTTCAATCACCATTACACCCCTATCAAAGGCAATAACATTACCATCGCCATGGTTACCATGGAGTGGACAAACAGGTAGAATTAACCTCTTTTAAATTGATGTTTGCTGGACAACAAAATTCATTGGTTGTCTCGGAGGCACACCTAGGGCAATCAGTCCATTATCAAGATAACTACATTGAAGTGGGTCATTCTTTACAAAACATTACAAAACAAGCCAACTAAGCCTCTGGCAGTTTCCCTGTTAAAATCATGATAAAGTGAGAGTTTTTTCGTGCAAAACATGTTGTTGCCGCTGCGCATGGTTAAAACTGAAGACCTTTTTTTAATTACATTTTTATTTAATATGGAAAGGAAAGTATGTTTATGCCTTCATCAGATGAAAGTACAAGAAGGCCTATATGTACCTTTATATCTACATGGAGGTCTATATGGGATTTTATTTCCAGATTAAAACTTTCTCTGAATTGTTCATAAATACTTCATTTCCAGTGTACCGGTATTTTGTTATATAATGCATGCCTGGCATCACTCTTTTATCTTTCCACTCTGAATGGAATGACCCCTATATTATGATCCCCCCCCAAAAAAAAAAACATGAAAAAAAAAACACAAACCATTTACCAGTAGAGAATAAGACATTGGTTTCAATGACAAGCAAGGTGCGAAATCTGCAGCTTCCAATATCATGATCAGATTTAGGATGAGATCGATATCTGCTTGAACTTTTTGGACAGCATAATGTATGAGGCAGCCAATATCAAATCATCACGTACATCATGAGGTACGTGCACTATGGGGTCTGGCCTCCAGCGCCAAAATTTAATTTGGGCTTCAACAATTTTGGGGTTACCAGTCGAGCAGGTTATAATATAATCATATCTTCAGTTGAGAGGCAGAGGGACGTTAACTCTGTGTTAGAGGAAGTGAGCGAAAGTCCTTCTGGCTTTCTGCAGATATATTATGATATAGCTGGGCAGGGGAAGACTTGCGCCACTATAATAAGAAATGAGATGGGAAGGTGTTATTACCGCATGTACTGGTGTACAGGCTTCTGCAATTTTGTAAACACACACGAGAATAATGAAGATTATGTGAGGACACGGCCAGGCACACTTGGAGTGCAACACGTACAGCACTATTATTTCATGTTCAACAAAGCAACCAACTACATGTACGTGTTCTTTCTGTAGTGATAACTGAACAAAAGCATAGCAAGTTTCACTTTCTGATATTGAACAGAGTGCAGATCATATTGCAGGTTTATCAAAATAAGAGGAGAGCAAGTTCATTTTGCTTGCTTGCTTGCAAGAGGATATGCCTACCTGCCAACTTTCCAATGCAAATATAGGTATCTCTAATCTCTAATAGTAAAATTGGGAATACTGTGTATTCTGTATACTTTTCCACACAAGTTTTCAGGAAAAAAGAGATAGGAATCTAAATCTGATCAATCTATGGTTTGTATATAAGATTAGTTCGGGGCAAAAATATGAATCCTTCCTCCACAGTAGCAATTCTTGGCAGCTTCAAGTATGAGAATGTGGAGCTCATCATGATGCAAGTTAACAAAGTGCAAGTATTTTCATGATGTGAGAAATACCTAAAAGAAAAGTGATTTGTTCAGATATTTTAGTTCAAAATTCAGATAACATCTAGAAATCTTTTTTGTCACACCTACAATACATTATGGAGAGATAACAAGATAAAATATGCCATGGAAAGACTGGTTTCAAAGTGAATATCCTCTACAAAATTGTACCAAATGTAACAAATACATTGAATTATGAGAAGTTTCCAATCATAAAAAGTGTGAAACACCTCAAAAAACTTCGCAAGGTATAGTACAAACCATGTACAAATTTCAACAATGAGCTGAAATACGATTTGCTTGCAACTTTGATAAACCACCCAAGGAAGAGGATGGAGAAGAAAGAAATGAGACGGAGACGGAGACACAAGATCCTGCTTTTACATCTCACCTCAAGCCCCTCTGCAGGTCAAGAAGGATATCGAATCTAGGATAAGTCGGTTGATTACCAACGAATACCCAATTCCTTTCAATGGAGGAGGCGGCAACGTCGGTATCGGGTGTCCCGGATGCCACGGGCCAGTTAAGAGTCTTTGGCAATATACGTGATTAATCCACAGCAGGAGTACATTTGAGTTAGATGAAATTCCGTTATAGCACCGCGACAGGAGCAAGTAGCTCGGTAATCCAATTGACAGACAATACAGCTCTACAGATGAAGGGGAAGTTTATTTAGCCCGATGTGAAAGGGTATATCCTTACAACAGGAGAGTTTAAAGAGAAGTTGAGCTCTTGAAGAGATGAAAATAATTTGTTATCTTTCTAATGCAAAGGGCTTTTTCCAATTCCTATGTACGCTGGTCATGGAAGGAATGAACCAGAGGCAAGATGTATGGAAAGAATGCATGTCATATAGAAGATCATGTCCCCTGAAAAGAATTGCTCTTCAAGTGCTCTCATATTTGAAATATGATGAGAAGTATCTGAAAAGTTTTGACTTTTCAGCTATCATGCCACATGCTTGCTTACTCCTACAAACATATTTCAGTAATAATCAGAGTATGTGAATTTCAGTAAGAGTAAATTTCTCATAATTTTGATGATTCTAAAACCTTCAAGAATGCCCAAAATGTTAGGAACTTCATCATCAACCTTTCCAGATGGCTTCCTTTCAGTTCCTTTCATATCAAATGTAGTTGCACGACCAACATTCAGCTGGTGTGATAGCAAAAGGATGAATGGCTATAGAGCTTTGAGACTATTTTGCCAAATGTGAAAGGCTACTTTAATACTAGAAGAGCTTAACAGATTAATTGATTGGTTACAAAGGGCATTTTCCAAATTGAAAGAGATATATATATGTAGGCCCTAATCTAATTAACCCATTTTAATCTTGACCCCAAGAAATACTGGCATGCAAATTATTTGATTGGATGTTCATAACTATATCAAAACTTATTAAATTCTCTCTGGCTCTCTCGACTTTCTAGCAATTCATTTTTGTTTAAATACATCACCCAAATACTGCAAAGCTATTAAAGTAACTCTGCATTCAGATTACCATAATTCATCATAAGTAGTTTGTTGTTTCCTTGTCTGTAGTTGTTTCCTTGTCTGAATGTTCTATATTCTGAACACACTCGATGTGAATCATGGCAGCTGAATATACTTCTGTCCACCAACCTACAAATACAAGCAAAATCACAAACTGGAATGCCAATACCCCCTAGTAGAATCACTAACCAGAACCCTTTCCCCATCCTCCTTCTATGCTTGTTAGGCATAAATTCCTGTGTAGTCCAGTCATGTCAGGAATGAACTGAAGCCAGGCAAGATGTATGAAAAGAATGTTTGCTCAGCTCAAGGCATAGCTGTAGAGAATCCATGCTATGGGCTATCCAGTCCACAGGAATGACAGCTAGGTCAGTACTTCTGTACTTTGTGCAAAGTACAAAGTACAGAACTGCATTGAGACAGTGTGTGCATGGATACAAACTGTACAAGAGATAAATGGTCACCAATACTACAACCAATGGTCATGTGTATCTCATTCTTTAGGGACCTATACACAAATTTGTGTCGTGGTTGAGTGGTTTAAGGCGCTTGACTGGAGATGCGAAGATCGAGGGTTCGAATCCCGACACGGCACTAATATCCTTTGGCAAGATATTAACCTGCACTTGCTACTCTCCACCCAGGTGTTAAATGGGTACCCGGTAGGATGCGACCGTCATTGTTGGTCAAACAGCTTGTGAGCGTCAAGTAAGGCCCGGCTGGAATGCTCCCCAGGGAGTGGAGATTGTGCACACAGTGTGTGCGGGCAAGCACTGAATCCAATGACCGGGGTAATAGTATATTTGTAAAGTGCTTAGAGACATTTGTATTAAGCGCTATATAAAAATTAATATTATTATTATTATTATTATTATTATTACTATTATTTTGTTCATCTTGTTTTTTTAAAACCACATCTGGGCCCTGTTTTGTAAAGCTTGATATCAATAACAACTGCCATATAAATTATCTATGACAAATCTGCTTACAGCCAGTCAAATGTAAGGATTTCAGTAGCTTGTAACAATGATTGTACCTTGTTAATTGTTACTGATATCAAGTTTTATGAAACAGGGCCAATACATGGTTAAAAAAAAAAGATGAACAGAATTTCCTGGTGATTACTGATTAGGGCATCAAATAAGATTAAATAAAACATCACTTGGAAGTTGGAGTTATCATTTCTATTGCATAACTTCTGACTAGACACATACAAGTTTACTTTGTGCTACAACTGTACATGTAGGTGATATATAATGACAATGACAAAAAGAAGAAAAAAAGGTAGTGAAAATAAACCTGATTGTGTTGGATTATCAGACATATTGTTCTAATCGATTCTCCCAGATATTCCTCTTTCAAGGATCGGTTAGAGCTAATAGTTAGCTTACAAAGTTCTGCATCCTGCATTTTAAAACTAAAAACCACAATGGGAGATATTCATCCAATGTTTGACAAATGATTTTCCTTTTTCCTTAATTTATATATTTTTTGATATTCATCATACCTATTCCTGTTAACTTAGGACATGAAGTTGCTCTTTAAAAAGAAACACCACTGCCCCTCATACAATAGGAGACACAGATATTTTGATTAATATGGCCTCTTCTAACAGGATAGTTAAAACTAAAAGCTTGGATTTATGTATTTTCAAATAAACTTGGCATTTAAATATTTCCTTTTATTCAAATGATCTCTTCAAATCCACAACTTTCCAGGGTCTTAGTGTTAAGATTAAAGTTCTAAGGGTCACTAAGACAGATGTATATTGATGCTGTGAAACTGATGTTCTTAAACACTAGTCATGGACATGCTATCTCTGCACTAGTGTAGGACATTAAAGAAAGGGGGAAAGAGTAGAAAGCAAGAATGGTAGCAGTGAAAACCAGCCTTTAAAAAAAAAAAGAGCAACGTCGCACTGACCAATAAATCTGACAACATATACCATAAAATTGCTTCATTTTTGCATAATTTGTCTGTTCAGAACCAGAAGGGTCTTACCTTTGTGTTTAATGTATTGAGTTAATGTCTTTAAAATTTGATTGCAGATTTACTAGATTACTCACTAACAAATTTTAAGTTTAATAATGAATAAAAAGTTTGTAATGAGATTTGGAAAATTCATCTTAAATACACAGATTTTTTTTATAAATTGCTACACTTGGATCTTTCTTCATTTTCCACCTGCTCCTCTTACTTTTTCTCAGCCTTGTTGTTTGAATATTTCTTGGTTCTATAGTGTACATGTATGATGACTATGGTGAGCACTTCAGAATTGGAATATATTTCATGTACTTTTGGGTTGAATACGTTATGATATATGTATGATGGAAATTGAGCACCTGTCACTTCACTGCTCTTGTGAGGACACATGCACACATGGTATCTGTTAGCAAGAATAGGATTAGCAGGATTAGAAGGCATATCATTCCAGGACAAACAAAGATACCCGAGTTCTAAAGTAGATCGAGTCAAGGGGGAATAAACACGTCCTCACTTGGTTCCCGATCCGACTGATGCAAGGAACATTGCATTGAGAAGTACTATTAAACTTAAAGTTAAAAATAAGACAAAGACGAGAATAAATGTAGAGTAAGAAGGACAAGAACTTACCTAATTCTAAGATATCCACATACAACACGAACGTGCCCTTTGGTACCAGGTACAGCAGTGTCCATCAACTACTAAATAAAGGCAAGTGAGCTCGAGCTCGAAGGGTGATGATCTTGACCCGAGTAGTGTGAAGACCAAGCGATCTCAGCGGGGAGCGTCCCCGGCAAACGCCAGACAGGATGAGGGACCAGGATGTGACAAGTTAGAGCTTCTGGCAGCACTTAAATCATTGATATTTCCTTTGTCGAGACGATTAGAAATTCCACTGATATTCCTTAAGATGTTGTGAGTCAATGAATGCATAAGATCACATAGTGTCGGGATTCTTGTCTAGATAGAAAATATGGTTTAACGAGTTATTCCGTCACTAAGCCCAGGCTCACTGCCAAGAGCGCACTACGAATCGAGTACGAGTCGAGTGCACATGAACTTCGCTATCGCTAGCTTACGCACGCAAAGCATAGCAAGCTAGCTGCAAGGAGCTTGAAATAAGAAACATGTGGAAATTGAGTGCATCCAGGCTGGCTAAGCCCAGCTGATGCTGAATGACTCGATGCTTTGTTTAGGAAGTGCGTCCAGGTGCGATTTACGCATGCGTACTTGCCCATGTCCAATTAGGATGCTGCTCAATGTCTTATCCTTTGAAATCATGCATCTAATCTATTGCATTTTAGGTATATCTGTCTAGCTAGGTCACCTTTGTAGACAGACAGATAGAAAGAGGTTGATAGATAGTTTGAAAGATAATATAGTAAGAAGATAGATATAGGATATCTCTTTCTCTTTATACTGTCTCTCTAGATATTCTATATTGAACCTTTAACTATGTATCCCTGTATCTTTATATCGTTGTATTGTATTTTTTCCGTCAATCAAAAAAAAATCAACAAATATACATTTACAATCATAAAGACACACTTCAAGGAAGACGGAGCGATGGCCCTCATATACTCAGCTTTGTTGGCATAACAATGCTGTTTTACAGAGGGGTCCATATAGACATAAGAGACATGTACATATAGATAGTACAGGAGAAAGGAAAACTTACAATAATGATAAGAGTAAATTGGAGTAAAACAAGAAAAAGGAGAGAAATATTTACGATATATACAAGAGAAAAAGTAAGTAAATCAACAAAAAAGATAAATATATATAATATCAAAAATATCAAGTTACATTGTATTTAAGCATGACTATAACTAATAAATAACTATAAATAATAAACTTTAACAAAATAACAAGAGCTAGTCAAAGTTGTATGACCCCGTTCAATAAACCATGATTCATGATAATAAATCAATCAATAAGAGTAAACATTGAATCTTAACGAAGTAATTTTGGTTTGCCTGAACGTTAAAACAATTCTGTTGTTATGAAATGTTTACACAAATAATTATATAACTCAAAAAATATATACACTATGTAGGCTATACGTTAATACTTTCATTTTACACAATCTGATTGACATATTTTATTGTAATTCTATTCATATAAATAAATCCATAAAAGTACTTATTATATTTTTCAAGAAGATCTGTTTTGAATATAATTATTTCCAAGGCTTTTCGTGATGAACAGTTTTTAATTTTATTAGACAGAGTATTTCAAATACATGCAACAGAATATGATACAGTGACTGTTAACATAATGTTTGTTCTTACTTTTATGACATTGATATTATGATTTTCATTGGTTCTTGTTTCATATAAGCATGTTGTAAAAATTTAAAATAAATATACAATGAGGGAGGTTGTTCTTTAGTAGATCATGAATAACTTGTTGGGGGGGGGGGGGGGGTAGTGAGCACATTTTTAAAAAAATTTGGGGGGCCCTCGAAAAATTTGAAAAATCGCACCCTCCCCCCCCCCTTGAGCGCCAGGGGGGGGGGGGCAACTCCAAAAAAAAGGTAAAATTAACGAGTTTTTACACGCTGCCCCCCCCCCCTTCTCCCCTGGATCTGTCACTGCCTCAAGCATCATCATGTGTCATCAATCATTGCTTTGTATTGAAGAAAAAAAGGTTATGGTTTGTCCAAATATGAAGAATTCGATATCAATATAATAATCATAGTAGAATTTAATTCCTTTGTAAAAACCTGGGCGAGCTCCCTGCAAGATTTCATGCTGCCAAAAAATTGGTAAGTTGGTGGTTCACACCTTTCTCGAAAGGATGTTCAAATTTTAGTCCCAGAAATAGTCAATGACCAATGTTGGAAGATAGAGGGAGCTGTAACAATTTTCTGCACGGTTGTTTTTTAATTTCACTTCAACGCCTTCCACAAACTGCAAGGCTACAAAAGTGTTGAAGTTCCCCCATAGCTCATATTTTGGTTGAACTATTACTATAACACTTCCAAGAAAAGGACTTTTTATATTAGCCGAACCAGAGACTGTTTCTGTTTTTTAACTTATCCCCACTCGAAAGGGCCAAAATATTGTAACAGGTAAGACATTTATTTTCCGAATTAATTTTCTGGCTTCATAATTTACCTCTAAAGCCAAAACTGTTTTTCTCTGAGAACAACAGAAATAAAATAAAATGAAGCAATAATAATGCAGTAAGAAAACGATTGCCTTTTAGAAGTGGCGTAGACGGGGGAGAAGGCGCGTGCCCTTTATCAAATACCAAAAAGAAAAAAATAGAAAGAAACGAGACATGAAAGGAAAACAGATGAGGAAAGGAGCATCTCCCATGACACCCCCGCTCTGATCATCTTGCTGCCATACGCATTTGATCCACTTGGTGATACTCGTGCCACTCCCCTTCGGTGGTCATTGCCCCCCTCAAAAACTGGATCGACGCCACGCCACCGCTGGATGATCATTCCTGTTATGCCTAACTGAGGAAGATGTGTCCACTAATTGCAAAACTAAGAAGCAACAAATCAAATTTATGTCGTGAAAATTTCCAAGTGCTGACATAATTATTGGTAGTGTCAGGGTGCATGCGGTAAAGGTGTAATTACCTTTTTTGGCAGTGGCATATCTAGGTATTTTGCCGCACGGCCAAGCAATGAAATTGCGCCCCCTATAACGAATTGTAAAGAATTGACATGTAGATAAATATTAATTGTGTAACGTTCGTTTCTTGCTGTATTTTTAATGTGTAAAAATTACTGAGGTCTAGGTTCCTTCGTCTTTCAGAACTGCCCAATTCCAAAGGTTTATTTCATTCTGTTATCAGAAAGAAAATTATAAATTTGTTTAGGGAATCAATTTAAAAAATTAAACACAAAACGGACACCGAGACTGGTTCATATAAAATCTTCTGTTTTAGTATGAAACCCTCTTATTCTCTATAAAAATGTTACTATGAAATCAATGCTAGTTGTTAATTACATTAAATTCACAACAGCACTATCGTATGTCGGTGATGACTCTTGACTCTCATATTGAAAGGTACTGGGTTCAATCCTTACTAGGTGCTTACATTATTGTGCAAGGTGTCTTACACACCTTGTCCCTCTCGACCCAAGTGTTGGGGTAATGATAATTAAGTGTCTTTGAGTAGTATTAATATCATAAGGATACCCTTTGTAAATAAAAACGTCCGGCGTACTACATTCTATTTTACTTCAATGAAACATGCCGTGTTATACTATTTTTACCATATTGTTCGAAGGTAAAATAAAAGAAGAATAACAAAAATGTCATATGAGATGCAACAAACATCATTGTTCATTTTCCCCATCAATCGAACAGGATACATAGAAAGCATGATAGAACAATACCATTACCAATAATTTTATTGTTTTATTTCTATTGACACAATTCAAAGTAAGTCATCGCAGTTCGTAAAGAAAAGGAATATTCATTGTACTGTAATACCAGATACCGCATAATGTTCACCTTTTGCCCGTAAAGTTGGGGAAAATCCTTACCTCTTTTCATGAAAATTAATTATTGTGACAAAATGATTTATTTATCACGAATAATTTTTCATATTGTCACAATCATTTCATGGAAAGAGGTATGGAAAAATTACTCCAACTTTATGGGCAACCGTGTATTCAATAATATATTTATTGATATATTTTTTTAAATCGTTAAATTTAGCCTATCGGTATTAATCATAGTGAAGGTAAAATAAAAGACAAAATAAAAATAAATGTGTTACATCGAAACTCTCTCTATTGATATAGCATCATCTTAAAAAGTTGAAATAAAAAAAACTATTTTGGTTTCTGCCGGATCTGGGAGTTTATTATAATAACTGGGATGTTTTCCCAAGAGTAAATTGTATCTAATTTCTGTTTACTAATCAAAATTAGGTTTGGACCTTTAAACAACATTTTATAATCACTTTGTACAACCGCCGATACAAACGGTTGCTTTTCTGTAACTATAAATTATAATCTAAACGAGAGAGGGCACTATAGCATCAAAAGTACCGGTCATGGCAGAAAGATTTGGGCTAACTCAGTTATACCCGAAGAAACACGATGCCCAACAAATAAAAGCAACTCACTTCATATTCTGTACTCACTGAAACATATTAAGCCAACTTTTATGTTCCGACAACATGCAGTAGTAAATTTATATTTCACTTATTTCGCAGTTAAGCAATGTTTTATGGTATGAAAATATCTACACTTTAAAATGTTAAAGACACTTGAAATTGCGATGCATGGATTCAATTATTAAAAAAACATTTGTGTGTATGAATCAACAATGTTTTATCTTTACAAAATGTACGATATAATATAATCCATGTTATGAGAAGCAGACAAAAGTAAAACAGAGAGTTGAAACTACAGTGTAATTATAAAGAAATATTAAACTATGAATCCGAACGAATAAGACTAAAATTTGTCTTGATATAACCTTTCTAAGATTTTTGCAACGCTTATGAACATAAACATTCTATATATCATTTTATGAACAACATCTCGATATGGGTTTCAAATGAAGGCTCGTTCAAAATTCACGACGAATACAAGGAAAAACTTGATTATTTGGTCAATTTAAGTTAAGGCATGCAAGAAGCGGAAGACGGTTGGAAGAGATTGCAGATAAATGCTTATAAGCCCAGTCAAGTTTTTTTTTTCTCTCTACATATTGTTATAAGCAATCTCAATTTCTCCCTTGTATGCGTGCTGTGATCCTCACTGTATACGTATCAATTTGTATATCAAAACAGAGAACACACTCAATTTTGTCTTCTATATTATATACCATGAATCTAAAATCACTCATTAAAAGACTAACCAGCAAAAGCACTATTGAAAATAGACAGAGAAAAGGCATGACCGTAAAAGATTGACAGACGTTTACTACTATATATCTTTATACAAGATGCGGCATCTTCAATAAATTCTTCTTTGAACGAATAGCTAAATCTCACGGTAGCCACGACAAATATATCTGTGTAGGATAATTCTTTTTATATCCATCGATTTCTGGAAGAACTTACACTTTCAAGAGCTTATTTCACGGAAGACACTTTGCTTTAGTAAACACCATGGATCGTCTGACAAACAAATACTACTATGATTTGATAACATCTTAATCCAACCGTTCTGAACATGCTATTCACAACTTCAGTTACTTGGTATTTGAAAAGAAGAAATAATAGATGTTCAAGTCCCTTGCTCAATCATCATGGGTAAAAAACGGAAAATAATGTGAAATATCTCATCCACATCCTCCCAAACTAAACTTTATTTCATGAATAAAAAGACACAATTTAAAGGTTAAATATTAAATTTACACTGCCATGAATTACCCATTACCTTTTGTTACACAACATATTTACAAACCTTTCTAACTTAAAACCTCATTCCAATTTGTACAATCATATCATTGAAAAATGAAAATCATTATATACACTTCAGAAAGGTGACTATTTAGGTAAGAAATACAAAAAAAAAATACAAATACACATATCCCATCACACAATGCACTATTTCACTTTAAAAAAAGATCAGAAATAAAAAACCTTCAAAAGTATCGCTTTGAATTGTTTTAGTTTTTGTTGTGAATACATGACTATATTATGTATAAAGGCTTTTGCAATATTATCTAAGTGTAGGTCTACTTTTTAACAAAACAGTCATTATTTTGTAATCTAATTTTTGTTCTATTACCATTTCTGCAGCCGCTTGTTGATTGTCAAATCATTATTTAAAAAAAAACCTCTTGTAGATTAAATCTTTTATATACTTTTTATTGGAAGAGTTTCTTCCACTAGACATCCTGTGACACAAAATAAAAATCAAATGCACATAGCTATAAACTAAACATTCAATTGCATGAAGCGTAATAATATTTATAAAATTGCACTCATGTTGGTATTACTATTTACACAATATGCAAACATCTAAAATTGTTGTTTATACTGCTTCATCATTATGGCTTAACATTAATGAAAACAGTGAAGACACTATAACAAAGGCAAATGTATTATAAGGTATTTGTTCAGTTCATGGAAGCCCCAGGAATCCTAGGGTATTATAGTTCGGTGATTTTTTTCCATCATCATTCATCTTAAATCTACATCCTCGTTATGAGTAGCGAACTCGTTAACATTTGGCACTTGCATTCATACTGTAATCTTTAATATTGCAGCGCAATAAATCATATTGTTTTGGTTCATAATACTATAATATTTTTAATTCTGAGATAATTTCTTGGTAAATGTCAGAAACAGTGGTTTAGAGTAGGTCAGCACTTTGGGAGGGGGGGGGGGTAATGACTGGTGTCATTGCTAAATATTTTTGTTTAGCTATTCGATTGCGATGGATAAGACACATGTGCCCCCCCCCCTCCACCACAACTATGCTACTGCACCACTGCAGGTATGTGTGTGTGTGTGTGTATGGGGGGGGGGGGGGGCATAACTCAAATTATTGACTATTGACTAACAATGAAATGAAACAGTGAAAATTCCTTCCAAATTCAGCCTAATCCTAAGTCATATTTCACTTGATATTTCAGGAACGTTATGGACGATGGGAAGACATTTACTTTTGTGATGGTGCCGCATTAGGACCCACCGGGATAACGAAATCATCCATGGCTTGAAGCTTGTCTGCCACCATCTTAAAGAGATCCCTACTCCAATCACACTCCGTATTGCACATCATGCTACTGGCACAATCAATGAACCAGTACTCGCTCGGTGACGCTGGCGATGCCGCTACTGTGACGTCCAGAGCACTGTCAGGAGCGGCGGCCGCTGTCGTCAAAGCCGCCGTCGCGCCAACGGCGCGCTCACGCCCTGCCGATCTCTTCTGCTCTCCATGATCCTCACTGGTGAGCCTCAGGTACCACGCCGCAAAGGCATCTCGGACCACGACGTCAGTCCCTTCAAGGGCCACGTGATCCCAACCATGACCAATGAGATCGCTCGTGTAGCATGACGTCACAAAGACACCGTCTACGTCGGCCATCCTCGCTGCCTGGATCTTCGAGGAGACGTCGGCGCCGAATCGCTCCATCAACGGCTTGAGTTCCGGGCAATCCTGAGGATGGCATCGCATGCTGAGGATATTCCAGATGGACCAGGGATCGTACTTAGAGTTGGTGATGAAGAGGGGTGTCTGGATGTACTTGGTGGCGTATTCAGGAAACATGCATGTCCACGCACTGCCGGGATCGGCCAACACCTGTGTCTGGACGCAGTCCGAATCCAGACTCTCTGAAAAGTTACAAAATAGTTTAGAAAAAAAAGTTACCAATATCCTTGCCAATATAAACCTAAAAAATATTCGATTATCATTATCCTGGTAGATTTCTCACAGCATACATGAATGGTTAAGAATACAAAAACAATACTGTCTTTTAGTCGGAAATAAAATACCTGAAATGTATGATTGATGTTATACCACACACCCTCACACAAGGCTATGGACTTACTTCTCCCCCCCCCCCTCTCTCTCTCTCTCATTGCACTCTCTCCCTCTTCATCTCCCTTTTATCTTTCCATCTCCAAGTCCATGAAGGAACTACGAATATTATTACGAACTCTTTAGCATTACCCTGACTGTCGAAATAAAACTGTCAAAACATCTTCCTGTTCCTTGCACTTTCTGCCATGCGTGCCGAATGAAATAGGGTTTTTATGGTATTTTACATCAAGTTCACAATTTTATTTCGGAGTTCTACAGATTTTCCTCAGAACTGGTAAAAAATAAAACCAACCTAGCATGTGATGTAGATTGAAGAGCCTCTGGAACTGTATCCTAATATGCATATATGCGGACCGGTTATAAGTATCGATATAGAAGGCGGAGTCCGCAAGGGCGTGGTAGGTAGAAGTAGGTGGTAGGAGGGTCTTCACGTGATCCGCCTGGTAGAAAACACCAAGCCCTCCAGCTGAGGGGGTAAGAATGGTTGAAGGGAGCATGAGTAATGATGAATGTTAATGATATAAATCAGCCCACATCGAATTATCAAAAGGTAACTGGAAGCAGCTAAATATGTGACAGACACGACATTGATGCTATGGCAATATTAAAGTGACAACAAAATATTAAAGGTTGACGAATCGGGAGTAAATGGAATTAATATTCATTAATATTATAATGCTTTAGCACTTAAACCTTCTTTTTTTCATTTTAGAAATGTAAAAAAGTTACATGATACTGATTTATTTTGTTGTATATATGTAAATACAAAACAAACAAGTTTTGTAATTAATATGTATAAACAAATTATTTTTAAAAAATCTTGCCAAAGAATGGAACTAGGCTCGACTAGCACTTGTGCTAACTTCTGGTTCCCGTTAACAACTTCACCTAAATATAGTAATACACATATTTATGTTTGTATCTTTTGTACATTTAATAGTATGCAGAGCTATGTCTAAATATCGTTTTAAAACCATTACTGTTCAATTAACATTACTCTTATGTTATTATATATATTATTATTATTCTTTGCATTGTATGATTGTTCATATGTACTGTCATTATTGTGATGTGTTGTTGTTAATAAATTCAATTTCAAATTCAAATGTAACATTTGTTTTCTTCCTATTCTTCCAATTAATAATTAAAAAATAGGATAGTGTATTTATAACAACATAAATAATTTTGAAGAGCACAGTAGCATAAGAAATATGCCTACATTCCACCATAAGCTTCAGCTTGCGCCGGGTACGCCTGTAAACTGAAATTTAAGGACGGGAGATGCTGAAGAGGTTCATTTAATATAAAAACTAAACTATTCAAGCCCCTTTTAAATTTGATATTTTTTTGTTTTTTCGTATAACTCAAGAATAAAAGGTGGACTGCATGGTTGAATTATGGCCTTTGTCGAATACTTTTTAAACGTAAGCTTTATGTCACATTCTTAAGAAACATAAAATGTGGACAAATAGCATGCTTACAAATTACAAAACTTGGTTAGGGTATTAATGATTTATATAGACTGTGAAGAAAGAACTGATTTTTAAGTTTTCTTTAAAGCCTTTCTGCTCTAGTGTGGCCAGGAGGGATTAGAACTCCCTGCGTGGTCACTGACAGGTGGTTATCTCATCAAATCAGCTCTCAATTAACATAAGAAACAGGGGATCATGGGGGACCAACGGGTACCGCTTAGGCATTGTTTGCTATATAGAGGGCGCAATTAGTAGCTACACGTAGTGCAGTCCCGCTGTAAGAACGAAAGGGAGAGAAACAAAAGATTAATCACTTACATCCAGTTCCAGATAAGATGATCCTCTCCGCAGCACCCATCTCAGTGGTGTTGAGAAGATAGTTGATGATGGACTCCAGGACTAAAGAACCTCTCTGGTAGATCACGCCCTCATCAGAGATACTCAAGGCCATCGGTGAATCACCTTGGTAACCGCAAACAAAATATGTTTCAAGAGAAGATTGTGTTTTAAGGAGAATATTGTGTTTTTGAGAAGGGGAAGATGATTTTGTGTGACAAGAAATAGCTTAAGTGTTTGGACCATACTTTCATGCCGCATATGTTCATGATGTTTTGTGTGGCCCCATAATATATACATTTCTGTGTACTTATCACGTGACGTTTAGTCATCTTTTTGATGATTTCAAAAACCTCACAGACACAGTATACACTCCAATACTCTTTCTTTAGTTTCTATGGGAGCGTTCAACGCGTAATATAATATAAAAAGCCTTATGCAAGAGATAAAGAGCAAACATGAAAAATGTCCGGAAAATGTAAAATTAGAGTAAAATGGTTATAAACCCTTTAAAAGATGCTTTTGATTATTCTTCTCATAGAGTCCATCTAAATAAAAGGTTATAAATAGAATCCCACCCCAACCCCCCCCCCAAAAAAAAAAAAAAAAAAAAAAAAATCTTACTTGAAAAAGAGGCGCCATCGCAGTAATGGAACTGGACTACATTCCAGTTGTGGAAATCAGGGTTAACCTCGGGATCGGAAGACAGTAAACCGGGGGTAGGGATTACTGCTGGTATACTGGAAGACGACCCGAGGGGGGTAAGGCTCCTCTGGTAGCAGTTGGTGGCGTTGTAGCACCACTGTCCGTCGGGGAGATGGAGGATCCACGAGTGGAGGCCGGAGTTAGCGCCTGCAAGAATTTAGCAGCAGATGACCAAGATAAGAACAATATTGATTATGATGAATTGTATTAAAACAAAATATTGAACAACAATATAATTATCCCAAATAGCATGGGAGATAATTATAAGAGTATAATGATGATGCAACAGACACATTGATACGTCTCAACTTTTACGTCAAGGTACCTTCATCTTCAAGATTTCTCTATTGCTTTTTTTCAAAGGATTACAACCATTAATATATTTTTTATATTGGGATTATATTGAATCATGACGATAATTTTTTTGAGAGCATAATACTTGTTCATACTCAATCAACATGAAATCATATTTGTCTAATTCTGCAGTGATTATTATTATTGATTATTATGTACTCGTAACAGAGTAGTGTTCAATTAAAGGGCCCTGTCAGAACTGCGTCTAATTACTGATAAAGATCACTATGTCATGGCACGCATGCTTTTGTTTTACCCTATATATTAGGTCAAATTAATCCCACTACGTTTTCAATATTGTATAATGACAACAATTTGTATCGAGTACATGGTTATTGTCTGTGCTGGAAATAGTCAAAACATTTGCTCGGTTAACAGTCAAGACGTAATGAAAATATAATGTCGTATGAATAATTTTACTTTGACGAGATAATAAAGAAGGGCTCTGTTACAGTATGGAATTTTAACGCCCTTTTAAATTGGCTCTTATTTAATGCAAAGAAAGTTACCTTTTCTCATGTAAAATGCAGGTGCACTTCCATCAAGGCAGAACGCTCCCGCCTTACTCGCTACCTCATAGGGAATCTTCACCACTTGAGCTACCCCATCCGCCCCTCCCCCTCCTCCTCCTACCCCTCCTCCAGACCCCAGCGAGGACGAGGGCATGGTCGGACCCAGCAAGTAGGTGCTCACCAACCAGAGGGTCAACCACGTAGTCCAGAGCGTGGCTAGAACGACGACCAGGGTCCAACACGAAAAGATGCGGCAGAGGCAGGCGCAGCAGCCTCGCTGCTGGTAGGAGTTCGGACCGTAGTTCTTGCCGCGGTACGTGGTCTCTGACGGCGGAGGAAGACGGGAGGTTCTCTTCGACGGCCCGGGTGAAGTCTTCTTCTTCTTGAAGGTCCGCCGTCGATCACCGCTGCCGTCGAGGGGCGTGTATTCATCCTCGTAGTCGTGATATTCGTAATCCATCATCGATGACATCGGGCTTGTCAGTAACTCTAAGAACAAGTTTTAATTACAATGATATCACTTTAATAACGGTGCATGATTATAATACAAGCTGTCATGATTAGGTTAAGTATTTTTGTCTTTTATTGTATAATTTATTTAAACAAATCATGAGAACCAAATATTTACAAGATTCGATAAATTGAAGGAAAAGAAAATACAAAATACAAAACAAAAAAAAATACATATAAAGTAGAAACAGCACCACACATTCGTTAGTGATATTATTCTGGTACGACGTATTTACAATTCTAAAATAAAATTTTGTGTGAAAGCTTTCCCTTCTCAAATCTTCTCAAATGTACAACTGTACATATGATTTCAATCTACACAGTTAGATGCACATAGAGCAATGTGCATACAGGGATTCACATACGAGAATACTATTCACTTTAATAGTGAATTTAATTATGCCAGTGAAGATGATTATCTAATTAGGGAAGAATTACAGTAACAATCCATTATCAGATTCAGACATTACAGAAGGAATCTAGTAATTATCCAATTAAATGGGTGTATGCCGAGTTGACTATCATTGCCAAACACAAATATTAATCGCCCAATTAATTAAATTTTATCTAATTACACGTAACAGCTTTAATTTTTTTACAACGTTTTAGCCCTCCATAGGCTATTTTATTGAGTCAAACAAACATTTTTACAATTCAATGAAGTTATGTTTTTCCTTAACTCAAACAAAACAGAACACTTTCACATTTATCTCCTTGTTGTTCATACAAACAAATGTTGAAGTGACTGCCATTTAGTAAAATATTTGTTATACATACCAGATATTGAATGAATATATCTCTCGTCTTCATAATATTGAATAATTTTCTTCTTCAAAGAACTAAAATTTGGAATTTTGTTATTTAGCTTTTGAACAAATAAGTGATGCTTAATCAAAGTCACTATGCAATTTAAAGCATCGTTTATTTTGTCTTCAAAACCAAAAATTACATTTTCTAAATTAAACTCTATCTGTAATCGAGAACCTTCATTTATTCATTTTACCGTTTCATTCCAGAATGATTTACTGATTTCACAATTGTAAAAGAAATGTACAATATCTTCCAGCTTTATTTTACAAAACGAACATTTATCATTACTCACTATTTTCATCTTATACAGTTCATAACATAACCCAACCTTTAATGGATTTAATGGCTGAATTGTAGTCATTGTCCAAACCCTTTAATGCAGGACTGCAACGGTTACAATGAAGCTCATCACAAAAGACTATACAATGAACATAATTTCAAACATTTTCCACTACAAACAACTCGAAGTAGAATGATTGCTATAATACTGCATTTTCAATGCACAACATATTTCAGATTTTGGGTATATTGTATTTTAATAAATAGTTATTTTGACAATTTTCGTTTTAGGGAAAATTATGCTTATAATTCGACTTATTCGGCGAGATATTCATCTAGAAACGTTTACAATCATCAAAACTGCAGTCGGTTATAAGTTTTTACACATCGACGGAAAAGTCATGTACATGTATGAACATACATAGTATTATAATTATACGACATAGAACATAGAATATAGAATAGCGATTTATATTATCATGATTATAATTATAATGTTCAATACGAAACATGTGACCCGGCAAAAATGTTGATATGCAGTTGATTATGTATACTAATGGTATATAAATTTATCAAAAAAAATAGATCAAATATCGAATCCAGTATCACTTATTGTATTGGCATGATTAATCTTTGTACGTAACGATTACTAATATTATGACATTATCTTACACAAAACATGCTATCGTATTGTTATTTAGAACTTACCGTTTCTTTTCTTCTTCAAACGTAAGAGGTGTATGTCGGCTCTCAGATTGCAGCTAATTCATCTTATTAACAAAAAACGTATAAAAAAGGATATAAAATCAAACTCACATAGCTTCGGAAACGTGTATAAATATACCAGCGTGGAAGAGCTGTAATGTCCCAATGTGCCTATAGAAAACTGATTTGAAAACCGATAATAATTCGTTTGCTTTCCTCTCAATCCCGCACGCCATATGGAACAAGTGGCGCATATATTAAAAACTGAAATCCACACCAGGAGAAAATTAACACACTTTCTTATTATACACACACGGCGAGAGGTATACAATAGGCCTGGGAATAACACGTGGACGATATTATGATAATTAAAGGCTGTCTGCGATTCCGGTGTATGTATAGACAAAAGGGTCTCATTTGCATAATAATTGCATTTATTTTCATATCATAATACAGTTCAACTGCATGGAGTATATGTTACCAAATCGATACCGCTGTATTTTTGCAGCACGAATATGACCAAAATAATGCAGTTTAAATAAAAGAAATGCAGGATAGGCCTATGCCAAAATGAGTGTACCGATTTTATCACATTAAATGAAATTTCCGTTTATTTAATATATTCTTGTTTTAGCATCATTGGCATTAAAGTTCGTTTCGATTTAGTTTTTGTCAATGACATTTGAATCGCCATCATCATTATCGTTGAAATATTGAAGGAAATACAACAAAGCTTATTTTGTTGAAATTGGTATCGCACCATTGTGACGTCATGAATCATTTTTTTTAAATCACAATTTCAACATGCGAGATGCCTACCCGCATATAAATACATGTACAAACACTTGCTTTAACGTTAACCCTTTATTTACCATGGTCAATTTAGCATGCGTACGTGAAATGGGAAAAGAACGACAGAGGAACTCGACTGGTTAATCGAGCGCAAGTTGAAGTGGTAAATCAAAGATTTTCACTGGCAGATTGAAGTTTAAAGGGAAAGCTCGCTCATACTAAAAAATGATTGTAATGAATGGTTTAGGCGTACTTGTATACAGCATTCAGAGGAATTTGCTTTGTCTCTATTCCTACTGATTAACGTGGTATCACAGTGGTGTAAAGTAAAGGGTGGAGATTCGGCACCCCCCCCCCTCTCACCCATTTGGAGGTCCAGAAAGAAAGCAGTAGAAAAGGTTGAAGAAGACGGTCTATGCCCAACCCCGTCCATGGAAGATTCTACACCCCCTCCATTATTACTTTCTGGATAATTATAATACTCATCGGTCCCAGAGGGGTAATATCTTTATTTCCCTTATTCCTCTTTCTGCCTTTCTTTCCCTTTATTGACGTCATACTTTCTTTCTTCATCCCCCCCACTCTCTGTCTGTATCCATGGTCCTCTCCCTTGTCATATGTTGTTCTTATGTCCCTCTCTCTGTTATTTCCCAGTTCCCAGATATCCCCCCCCCCTTTTTTTTTCTCTCATGGCAAAAAACTTTTTTTCCCCAATCGAATTTACATGGTGCTTACATCGTTTATATAGGATGTTAAAGGTAATCACAGAGAACGTCGATGACAAAAGATCAGAATAGTGTTTGCAGTTCGGAATATTATTTGCTAGTCTGGAGAAAAGTAAATGTCAACTATGGAAAGCCAGATGAAGTTATTTTTAAGCAGCTAGTACATCATGGGATTATATCATTTTTAACACAATTTTTTTGCAGACGAATGTTGCTCCTGAAAACATCCATATATTTTTGTCCGATCTAGCAGCAAACTATTCATACGAATTGATAACGATGAACAAAGAAAGTCATTTATTTGAAATCGGACGAGTGAAGGCGATACCTGGTCGTTATGTTTCAGGAAAGAATTAGCATCAATGCCGATGCAATACAAGGTCTGTTGCAATAAGCCTCAGCAGCCACTCATTGTAATAATAGCCAGATCATAGCCACAATAATAAAGACTACTATTTTGTGATTCATTCAAATGAAAAATAATAATTATCTGCCAAAGTTCACACTGGGACGAGACAATTTACAGTTCCAAACTGACATTTTGTATGCATCAGTTGCTGCGAGATCAGACAAACCTCAAGCATGTGTGGTGCTGTGACGTCAGAATGGAAATCGTTCCTCGAATATAAATCTATTGACAAGAGGGACATGCTCAAAGCCTGACGACAACCAATTATTGAAGCATCCATATAAACTTCTCATTAATAAAATATTAATGTCATTTTCAAGAAAATTGTAATATCTGTCATTGACATGGATTATAGGCATAGAATACTCACGTTGATTTGATAGTGGGCATCAGCGGAAAGACGAGACATATGAAATTCAAAATGTTTGTTTGCAGTTTTAAACGATATCTGTTGAAACTATAAATGGATGAAGATGAAGTTGAAGGATGTTTTCCATGACGGCGCCACGCCACATTGATATAACACGTGAACAAACCTGATGCGATGTGCCGTGTTTTCATACCACGCGCCTATAAAATTAACGATGCATTCGACCCAAACCGATATTTCCTTCTAAACGCACAGTACTGTTGTGAACGAACCAGGTGACACGTGTCGGAGAAATAGACGGAGAATGAATAAATGAAATATAGACGAAAGGGAAAGATAGGCGGAGAGGAAGGAAAATGTACTAGGCAGAAACGGGAGAGGAGAAGATAGGGGAAAGAAGTGAGAAAAGATATATGGAGCCGAGGGGGGGGGGGGGGGGGGGCATAGTGCCACCACTTTCTCAAGTACCCCTAAAAAGCCCCCTTTTACATAGGAAAGGTGCCCCCTTTTACTTCCGATGAGTGCCCTTATTCAAATGTAAGAGATTAACTTTGAAATAAGAGCCCCTTTTATTTTTACATGGGCCCCTTATCCATTTGGATTCGTGCCATTTTCCCCATTTTGCTTATTGCTCCAATTCCTTTGTAATAAGTGCCCCCTTTCCGTTCTCATAAGTGCACTTTTTTCATATGTCATATTACTTTTATCTAAGCATTTTTTCATATGTTCCTATTTTGATTAAGTTTTGGAATGAAAATCATATGAATTGAAATTTAAATGAGTGAGGGGTGGGGAGATGGGGGGGGGGGGGGGTTCGTATGCCAATCTGTTTGCGTTTGCGTTGAAATTCCCTTGTCTGCGGTATATTGTGTAAATGCTCTTGACTCCACTTTGGTACGAAAGGTCTTTGGGTCGCTCCTTGCCTGGGGCTTTTTCTTTGAACTTTCGACAAGAAATGCACTAAAATGTGGATTATCATTATCATTATTTATCTCCTGTTCTGCATATTCTCTCTCCCCCGGCACCCCCTCTATTCTTTTCTGTCTCTCCCCTCTCTCGCTCTTTCTATCTAGGGTATGGGGGGGGGGGGGGGGGGGTCCTAACACCAGTGTTGCCGCTTATATTCGCTTCCGGTCACCCTTCGAACTGGTTTTGAGTTTTAAGACTTTAAGATGGTCTGAATCTATGCTGGTAATATGCAAAACATCTTTTATTGCGCGCTGCCTATAATAAAGTGTGTGGTTATTCTTAAGAGGGAGCCCTTCCATATTAATGTAAGCGAGACAGAAGGCTCTTTGATAAGTAACATGAGTATATCATCTATAGATGGGTGCGAGCGTAGCGAGCGAGCTTTGGGAGAAATTGCTCTTAGTCGCTTAAAATTTGGGGCGCGTTTAATGATTAGAGGAAAAGGGGACACTTATCAGAAAAGAAAAGGGGAATGCGTCAATATACAAAAAGTAATTATCAGAGGTGAAAATGGGGCACTTCTTACACCCTCAAAAAAGGCACTCACCAGGGATGAAAAAAGTCAGTCATGAGAAAAGGAAATGGGCATTTGTCGACGGAAAAGGGGCCCCCATCATATATTGATAGGGGATTTATAGGAGGTGAAAAGGGGCATTTATGAAAAGGGGATAGGTCCCTTATTAGAAAGGAAAAAGGGCACGTATAAAAGGGAAATTATCAGAGGTGAGAAGAGGCACTTATCGCACCTGAAAAAGGACAATGACCAGATATGAAAAGGGGCACTTATGTGAATGGAAAAGGGGCACTTATAATAAAGGAAAATGTGCATTAGTTGGAAGAAAATGGGCACCGATCAGATTTAAAGGGGCATTTATCGGAGGTTAAGGGGGCACTTATCTGAAGTGAAAAGGAGTAACTTCTCGTACCTGAAAAGGGTCATTTACCAGAGAAGGGGCACTTATGAGCAGGCCCGTAGCCAGAGTTTGATGTTGGGGGGGGGGGGCATCGACGTCCTGGGGAGGGGTCTAAAAAAGTTCAACCGATCTTGGGAATTTTTGGGAGACACGTGCCCCCTGTGCTCCCCCTCCCCGTGGCTACGTGCCTGCTTATAAGAAGGGGAAGGGGCACTTTTTTAATGGGGCACTTATCATTAGGAAAAGGGGCACTTATTATAAAGGAAAAAGGGGCATTAGTCGAAATAAAATGGGCACCGATCAGATTTTAAAAAGGCATTTATCGGAGGTTAAGGGGACACTTACCATTTACCAGAGAAGGGGCACTTATAAGAAGGGGAAGGTGCTCCTTTTTTAATGGGGCACTTATCAGTAGGAAAAGGGGCAGTTATTAGAAAGGAAAAGGGGCACATGTGAATTGTAAAATATTTATAAAATAGGTTCCCCCATTTCTTTTCTTCATTTTTTGTAATTATTAATTTACTTATTTGTATTTTTTTTTAAATTTCTTTATCTTATTTTATTTTGTATTCGTCCTTATATAATTGTATTATTTAATTTTTAATTTTATATTATTTTTTTGTTTTCGTCCTACCTACTCCCGCCCCCCCCCCTTTAAAACAATATTTTTGACTGCTAGTCTAAGCGAACGTAGACCTACATGTCATTTGTGTCAAATTATCAAAGCTTTTTGGTCGTCTAGTCTAGTCTGGATTAAGATAAGTGAGTCACGGTCCGGTCGGTCGGGTCACGGGTTTACGCACGCACTCTCGTAAAGCCGGATCGTGATTAACGGGAGCGGAATTGGGAATTCACCTTTGGCACGACTATTAACCAGCGGATGTATATTTGACCCCAAAATGTAATATTGTCGAAAATGGATCCATGAGGTTAACAAATCTAAAAGATAACACACAAAACAAAGATTTGACGAAAAATTTATTGTCATCTGGTATTTGTATGTTATGATTTAAAGAAATGTAGATAAACATCTGCACTATTTTTTTTATAAATGCGGAGGTATGCACTCAACGAGGTGGTGAACTAGTGACGTACATTACCGGCATTTTCCTCCCATCATCCTCTCTCTCTTTCTCACCAGCAAGAAACATGGGCATCGATCAGGAAGTCGTCAAATCTTTTGTAATAGATCTTGCAGCCGGTGGCATTGCCGCTGCAATTTCTAAAACAGCCGTAGCCCCTATCGAAAGAGTCAAGCTCTTACTACAGGTAAGATTTTGTCAAAATTTTGCGAAGATTTAAGTAAATTTTCGTCTTCATACTCCCTCGTCTTGGTGTAGAGAGTGAGCACTGTAGCGTACATGCGTGTGTGTTCCATAGGGTTTGTACGTATGGTAATGTGTGTATGCGTGGTGAGCTGAGTGCGTGTACTCACTGCGTTCACGTGGGCTTTTTGCACTTCCTGCAAAAAAGCCGGTACCGGTGTCGTGCGTTGCTACACGATTGGTGAATGAACATGTTCTTGTGTAATTTGACAGTTTTCTGAATGGAAATGTGTTGAAAAGCATACAGTTCTACTAGCCTTATGTTCAGAAATAAATAAGAATGATAGCATGTGTCCAGTGATCCCGATGCTGACTAAAGTTAAAACCCTTCTTCAGTGAATTTGTCCTTGAAAAGGGAATCAATTGAGGGCGGCGGGGACTGCTCATGGCGTCCATATTGATTTTTTTTGGTACAAACTGGATTCGAGGGTCTAAGCCTATAGGTCTAGAGTCTACACTTTGATATTTGCGATTTTCGAAAAGTTGATGAAAGTGGATAAATATGGACATAACAGTTGAAGGGAACATCTTGAAAATGAAACTTTCCATTGACAAAATTGATTCTAACTTCACCTTTAAAATAAAAGGTGCTGTGTTCAAATTGACCCTGCATTTTTACAAGAATTTGTTAAAGTTAGATAAAGATTTGCAGAACATGATATTGAGACCCAGCTACTGCAGGGTTGACATGGGCCATTCTTTTTCATATTGAGGATATAAACTAAAGACTTTAAATTTATGATAATTATCCTGGCAAAGACAAAATAAAACCAAAATACCAATTGTTGGATGTGGGGTCGCAAAAAATAAGATTGGAGAGTGTGAATGTAATCTGTAGCAAATGAAAAGGGGAATTAACCATGATCAATGTGCTTAGCAAGCTTTTAAATTACACTTTGGTAGTCCAAAAGGCCAAACACAGCAAATGGAGATTTCCTAAAATCCTTAAAAGTTGCTGACATTAGGAGAGTCTCCTAAGTAGTGAATTGGATAGGGGGCTAAGCATGCTTCAGTAATTAATGTTTTCCTCTCTCTGAAAAGGTTAATTCTGACTAATTTCAGCCATTTTATAATGAGAGCAATAAGAAATATATGGTATCCGCTTCTTTAATTTCTGTCTCTATTACCCAGTAATTTCTAAACTTTTTCAAACCACAAAGCTGTGAAAAGAAGGAAGGAAGCTAATGATGATCACATTGAAAAGGGTTGGTTGGTTGTGACTCATTTCACCAACCAACATAAAGTTTAGAGTTCAGATTGATAGTGCAGCTGCTGCAATTCTGTTAAAACTAAATGACTCGTATCTAAAGTGATCATCATTCACTGCCATAGTGAAAATATTTCACCAGGAAGAGTTTGCAGTGAAGTTAAACTCGTTTCTGAATTCCAACTGCATATATTCCGGCACACAGTTGACACAGAAATGTCTTCTACATGTCTCACAATAGCCCTTAATTAAATAAAGGTTTTTGAACCAAGTTAGGGTTATTTATCATACATGTACATGTAAAAGCCATTTATTTTATCCGGGTTTCGAAAGACACTTACCCTATACAAATATTCATCACTATTTTTAAATCCCTTAAAAAAAATTGTGTTTTCATATTTTTTGTTGGGGAGAGGTTAGAGAATTAAAAAACTTCATTTAAATTATTTGATTTAAATATCTCGATTCAACTGTTGGCCTCATCAGCACAGAAAGGTCCATTATATTGTTATATTTAAAAAAAAAAATCTTTCTTTTCTTTTGATCCAGGTTCAACATGCATCAAAACAAATTACAAAAGATATGCAGTACAAGGGAATTGTTGACTGCTTTACCCGTGTAACCAAAGAGCAGGGCTTCTTCTCACTATGGCGTGGAAACTTGGCCAACGTCATCAGATACTTCCCAACACAGGTGAGGATTGTCTGCCTATAACTAAACTGCAGCTACACTATATGTAACATCCACACGTCCAACAAGACTTGGGTCTTGCAGTTATGATAGATTCAGAAGAATAATTTTTCAGTTCATGCATTTCTTATGTTAATAATGGTCCTTAAATGTACATGCTTGGTCCATGTATTTGAAAGTGTATCAAACACCTAAACCATTGGTCTTGGTGTAATGTGTTCCATTCTGCTCCACTGCAGTCAAACTATGAGCTTAAAACATTTCTTTTACACCAAGATATTGCAGCTTAAATGCATTCTCAAAGAACTTTATAATCCCTTGTTCAGTAGACTACTGAATGCATGTGCAGAATAAGGCCCCTAAGTCCAACAATCAAGTCTAAAGTTATGAAATTGTAAATAATAAACTCTTTACGTTGTATAGCTCCCTCTCAAGGTCAAGATATTAATTAAACTATGAAACAGTGTTTCTTGACTAAAATTGACTGATAAGCTAATCCCGTTTGGAAATTATATATCACAACTACATATTCTGAGATTTTCATGGTCGGAGCTACTATTGCACGGCCGTAGCCGCTATTTGAAATTTTTGTATTCAATTTTTCTCGCAAGCAGATGTGTTTTAGGGGCCAAATTTTCTAATGCTTATAATACATCCATAGGAGCATCCAAATATATCAAAATTGTAAAGAAGCACTATCCATTTAAAGTAATCTTTTTTTATTCAACTTTCGTTAATCATTGCTCTGCTCTGTATGTTTTTTTTTTCAGGCTCTGAACTTTGCCTTCAAAGACAAATACAAGAGGTTGTTCTTGAATAATGTTGACAAGAATAAGCAGTTCTTGCGCTACTTTGCTGGTAACTTGGCTTCCGGAGGAGCTGCAGGAGCCACATCACTCTGCTTTGTGTATCCCCTCGATTTCGCCCGTACCCGTCTGGCTGCCGATGTCGGTAAGGGCGGAGGGCGAGAGTTCAAGGGTCTCGGTGACTGCTTGACCAAGATCTTCAGGTCTGACGGCATGCTTGGACTTTACCGTGGATTCGCCGTGTCCGTCCAGGGAATCATCATCTACCGTGCAGCCTACTTTGGCTTCTACGACACAGCCAAGGGTATGTTGCCAGAGAACCTCAGCAGGAATATCCTGATCTCTTGGATGGTGGCCCAGACTGTCACTACCTGCTCAGGAATCATCTCCTATCCCTTTGACACTGTCCGTCGTCGTATGATGATGCAGTCTGGCCGAAAGGGTGGCGATGTCATGTACAAGGGTACCATCGACTGCTGGACCAAGATCATGAAGCAGGAAGGTGGCGGAGCCTTCTTCAAGGGTGCACTCTCCAATGTCCTACGTGGTACCGGCGGTGCCCTCGTACTCGTAATGTACGATGAAATCAAGAATCTCCTTGTATTTTAAGAACATCACCAACAAAAAGTTTTAGTCTGGTGTAGCTAACATCATGTGAGCAGAATTGCCCAAATCACTTTTTACAACATTGTGGATGGCAACATCCACCTCCCAATGTTCCATCTCTTGGCAAGCGAAATACCTTTTCTTCATAATCATTTAATTTAATTCTGGAAATCTTGTTTCACATCTGCGCTTCAAGTACAGTGTTTTGGGTAATTCTGCTTGAGAGGGTGAGGATGAAATAGGATTTTCCTATGAAATGGGATTTTCTTATTTTGGTTGCTTTGGTTTCAGAAATGTCTTCTCTCAAGACATTTTTGAAACGAGGATATATCATAGCACCATTGATACCAATAAAAAAATCCTCAAGATCTTATTCAAAAGTCAGACCTCTATGAGGTTAATGCTCCACCAAAATGCATAGGTATTTTCTATCGGTTCTCAGTGTATCGACCAAACTCCAAACATTAAACACATCATGGTTAGACTGCATATATGCAAATTTATGGAAAGATATTTATATGAAGTATTCATATTAGAATAATGAAAAGTAATTATAGGGATAGACCAATCCATTCAGGTTGTGTGATTTTGCTTTTACAGTGTAGTGATACATTACACTTCCAAGATGAATGCGCAATGATAACCATAAAATTGAAGAAAAGAAAAAAAAATCCTAATCGTGGTAATAGGTTCATTACAGTATGATTTGAAGTTTGTTTGTATTTTACTTTTGTGAAATGAATGTGTAACCCTTATCCACATCAGATTTAAACAAAATTGTATCCGATTCTTAACCTATTATCACACCTTGAATGGCTGGCCGATAATATCACCATTCTGAGGCATCACAAACTGGTATCGATGATGGCGGAGCAATTTCACACATTTTGAACTGCCTAGTGCTTTTCATTTCTTTGTGTGGTATAATGATGAATATGCACAATGTGTTGTGAATATTATGGACTTGGATTTATGTGTGGAAAAGGAAAGTCTAATAAAAAGCTATAAAATTAACCTTGAAACTATGCTGTCTCGTCATTTCTAGTGCAAGTATTTTAGTTGAACACAATTGGGGCAATGAAACTGTTTTTTTTCCGTCACTTGTTATGAAAGACATTTGTTTTTAGGATGCTATCCATAATTGAGGGCTTTTGTGCAGTGGATGTACATTTACATGTACCAGGTTGCTGCTGTAGCCTTGTAATAAGTATGTGATACATTGTAACATTTATGATTAGTGTGTGTGCCTGTGTGCTTGTTAAATTGAGAAAAATAGGAAAATGAGAGAGTATCGACAGATTTATGCAATCCACAAACTATATGTACATTTGAACTTGTATACCAAATTAAATTAAAATTGTCTTACAACTTAGTGAGCAAATGAATACCAAATTATCTTACAAGTGAGCAAATAATGAGTCAATATTAAATTATTCATTGATTATTCTAAACTGTCTGTTATCGGTTAATTCTACTCCCTTCTGTATTCTTTTCTGTCTCTCTATGCCCTATGTGAGTTTTCCTTCAATTTGCTCATACAAACCACTTGAACATGAAGGTGAAATTGAAAGGATCCAGCCTGTAAAAAATTGGGTGTTTGGTTTTATATATCTCTCTTAAGGGTACTCGGTATCAGGACAATTACCCCCAGAATAGTCTCTAGGACAACTAAGGAAAATTACCCCCTGTTCATTATAGGGGTAGTCTCTCAAACTCTTCCTCTTTCTGAACCTAGCCATTTTCTCTTATTCAGCCAATCCTAGAATTTCTTGACCACACTTGATCATTTCCTTTTTTCTTGCACCTCTTTTTGTCTCTCCTAACCTAGCTCCTGCTGCTCTTGCTTCCTTTTCAATCTCTTGGTCACTGTTCCATCTCTATCTTGCCCCTTTACATGTATCTATTCATCGTTCTTCATCGTTCTTCCTCACCTTTGGTTCCAGCTCCTTCCCCCCTTTGTCGTTTATGCTGTATTTCTTTATGATTGTAACACTTTCCCATGATCTTTTCCTTTTCTCTGGTAATGTCTCTTGATCTTTCCATCATTGTCCCACTTTCACCCTCTGTGGCTTGCCCCCCCCCCCCCCTCCCCTCACTCTCTTCCTTGCTCCCTGCCTCCCTTCATCATTCTCTCTTGCCTCGGTAGTCTGAATCTTTCTGTATATAGCTCTCTCCTACCCCCTCTATCTGTCAATTCTTATCTGACTAATCTCTTATCTTTCTCTCTACCTATCTTGCCTTTTTTTCGTCTTCTTCATTTAGCTCACTTGAAGCCAAATGCTCAAGTGAGCTATTGCGATTGCTTTAGGGGGCCTAGGGGCAGGGCCCCCAATTTCCCTTGAACAAAGTAATTGCACATTTTCTTCTTCTTGAAAACCCAAGGTTGTATGCTAACCAAAATTTGTAGGGAAGGTAGATCTAAAGCCCCTTAGTGGGCCTGGTACAGCATCCCTCAAAGCGACCCTATGGCGATAATTTAGCATTTCTTTACCTTTTCTTTAAAATTCATGTATAGATTTGTACTTATTGATAGGAAGCATTCCTCAGGCAGGGGTATAAGAAATTGTTCTGAAGGGCTACTAACTCCTCCAGAAGAAGCTTGAGAGTAGCACCCCCCCCCCCCCCCCCCAACAACCAAAAATGTAGTCTGGTTTACATTTTCAATGATGCAGAAATCTTGATAAAAATTATCCTTAGCCAAGAGAGAAATGGGGTATGTACCCCAAAGTTCCTCAGGGCAGAAATTGCACATTTTCTTCTTCTTGAAAACCCTCAAAATATCCAGGAATAACCAAAATAACCATATTTTTTCCCCTTCAAATAGGCTATGTGCCCCACAGCACTAGGGGGCTTGGGGCAGCACCCCCATAGTGCTCCTATGACAATAATTAGACATTTAAAAAAAAATTTTGACTTCAATTAATTTTGACTTGACTTTATAGGAAGCAGTCCTCAGGGAGAGGGATATGCATATATTATAAATATCTTTGTATCAGGATGGACTTTGAATTTATTCCAGGAAAGATCTTGTAAGTACATGAATTAACTTTGATACCCATGAAACCACTGACATTCATACCCCACAATGACAAACATGTACACATACAGACATACTTAACACCATTGCACCCTCTCGTATTACGAAAATGATCAAAAATGCAGCTGGATATCTCTTTATCAAGTCATGCACATCCAAAGAAGTAACAATTTTAAGTTGAACCTGTATCTACATCACAAACTACATGAAGTACATGAACAAAGTCTAAAGTCTTGTTGGTTTCAACTCCCTGATTAGTCCTACATAGTCACTATCTTCATTGGAATGTTTCCGTATTCATGTTGAATCGTGTATTGTACGATTTATCTTTGTTCTCGTGGCCCTTTACAGCCCGGGAACAATAACGGCGAATATTGGGGATTCTGTAAATATGTGATTTAAGGGAGAACTGAAACCATGGAATACAGTTGACTCTGCATAACTCAGAAGTCGCACAACTCAAATTTTCAAATATGTATATATTTTTTGTATCAAACTTAGCAAATCTGTTGTTATTTGCACTTTGAGTAAAATTTGTCATAATTGTTCATAAGTTTTGTTTGCAGTCCCAACAGATTCGACTTATGCAGAGTTAATTGAGCCAAGAAGTAGGCAAGATTGTAGGCAACAAGAAGGGGGGGGGGGGGGTGGGGAGGGGGGTTGGGGAGGGGGGTTGAAGAAATATAATGAAATTACAATTTTGTTTCTTTCTTAATTTATATAGGTACTTGTAAAAACTCTCTTCCTTTATATTTGAAACCACAGGTGTATGGACATGTATGTGATGATTCAGATTGTTTTATTTTTAGCACTGGACACACTTTTTTCTCTCTCTTTTTTTGTAGTTGGCACAATGCAACATGCTATCAATTCCCAAATCACAATACTGACACAAGTTGATTCATGAACAATATTGGATGTACTGGTATTTTATGTTAAAAATTCATCAATAGCATACTTTTATTAACATCATTTTGATTATACAGATTATGTGATCACTACATCAGATGGCTTAGTAGTTTTTCAAAAAAGAAGAAAATACATGTAACATGATAAAGACAGAAAAAGTAGATGGTCTCATAAAAATTATTAAAAAACAAAGCAGTATCGAGAAATTAAATTTTATTAAAAAATACCAGGGCTCGTTGCATGAAACTTACCATTGATGGTAACTTTGCCATCAATGGCAAATACAATGGTAAAACGGGGCTCAACAGCCAATCAAAATCAAGGTTTCCATGGCAGTTGCCATTGGTGGCAAAGTTATCATCAATGGTAAGTTTTGTTCAACGGGGCCCTGAATGCTACTAGACAAAGCTGTGCAACTTCACTAAATCTGACGCCCTTTGCTCATGAAAATTAGATAATAAATAAGATACCTTCGAATATCTGCCTGAACAGTGCGTGGCCACTTTAATGGACACTCCAACCTTTGAAACAGAATGGCAAATGTTTGAATTCAATCAGGCAAATAATGCTACGGTCACAAAGGTTTGTACGAATCTCCCTGTTTTTCCATTGTCTGAAAATCGTTTATACGGCGTTCGTAACAGTTCATAAAGGCATTTGTGACCCAGGCTTAATGAGAAAGTTTTGAATGTTCGGAAAATGGGATCACCATATCTATGCGAAGTTTTAGATTGGCAATTTGGTCAGTGGAATGTGACATATTCACAGTTAACGCTCACTTTTGTCATGTGCAGTGCATGTAGAAAAAAGGATACCCAGGTTTGGAAGATTCCCATTTAAAAGTTATAACCTGTTTGACAAAGAAATATATTCCATTTTAAAGAGTAACTAATATACTTATTCCTAACCATGCTGCCACAAAAAGTATTGAGAAAATCCTCTTGACCCAAATTTGGGCTGAAGCAATGAATATGTGTCAAAAACCTTACCCATTGTTAATGCAATTGCTTACTGGTTCAAAATAATGTTGTGCACTTTAAAAGAAAATATGACAATGTATTGTCAACTCAGATTCAAGAAAGGCTCATTTACAAGCAATATTTGTGATATTTTCTTTATTACACAATCTTGGCTCTCTTAGTTAGGAATTCATTTAGTGTAGGAGATTGTTGGTGAAGCAACTGTTGCAGGAGCTCGTGTCATGCAATCCTGTAGCACAAACACGATCTCGTCTTAGTATAATATGTGTCTAAATCTTCTTAAAAAAAATAGATACTACATGCAGAGACCGCGTTTATGCGGAACACCCTTGGTACTAATACCAAGCGTGGGGGATTTTTCATAGATAAAAAAACTACCTAGGGCTAGGTGCATATTCTCTTGACAAGAATACAGGCAAGGGTAAAGAACATGTCAATGCATACTTTGAAGGAGAAGCTGCACAAAATACTTTGGCTTTTCTAAACTATCCCCTGGGGTGCTGCAAAGCTATGTTTAGTTAATCTGGACCATAAATAGTCATATTAGCCAAGTTGTCAAGGTTGCTGGTTCCAAACTTCCAAACAATTTGTGCTAAACAATGGCGTGATGATCACATCAGCGCCAAACATTGAATTTGCCCAGCTCCAGCCAGTTAGTCCTTTGGTACTCTACAGAGAGGTTATTAATTAACATATTCAAATTTTACACAATTTTTAAAAACAATTGTTGTTCTTAACAACTTGAAGGGATGTCTGACATAGCAACAAGTAATGTATGCAGACTGGATTCCAAGTATTGTAGTTCATTCTTCAATAATATGTTAATGGAATAACTCGTCACTAGGTCCCCAGGAAAAACACATTTATAAACCGTGAATTCAAACCACTATCCATGGTTATTAACACTAGAGCTTTGGTTTAGGAAACAATATCCATTATCTTGATATTGTATTTTATCTTGTATTTGTCTGTTCCTCATACCTGTACGCTTTCCACAGCAAGATACTATTTCTAGGTATGTTTATTACCTTCTTGCACATTTATTCATATTCCTTCACATATATCAGTATTCTTTCACTATCATCAGAAGGCTTTTAAGAGCCATAATTCACTAAATTCAACAAAGGGCAAACAGTTTCCTGTAATGTAATGTATACTATAGAAGGTTAAAAAGTGCTTTTGATCATGAAACAATATCTGTTTACTTGAGGCTACTCGTTTACAATTTTGGACAATGTGCTAGTGAGATCTCCGCACCTAGATTATTTCCTTTCTTTCACATACATCAGTATTCATTAATACACAGTATTCCTTCACATAAATCAGTATTCTTTCCACCAATTTTTACCATAATGGATCTTTCGACCTTTGTGTGCTTTCTATGTCACCAAACCATCTTTGTCTTCCCTTTTTCAGTTTCAGATGCCCATTTACTGGTCTCTCTGTATTAGTCCTTTCATTATATCATCTTAATTTCCAAATGTATCCTTTTTGCTGACTAGGCTACCCTCTGCATAAAGGTTTGCTTTCTGCCATCCTCTCCCAGTAATCATTAGGATCATTTTCTTCTACTCATTTCCATTCTTCTCATTGTACTCTTCCTCTTTCTTCAATCCGCGCCTATTTCCATCTTGTCATCTTCATCTTGTTCCTCGTTCCCTCCATCCTCTCCCGCATCCCCGTCCTTTGTGACAACACCTGCATGGTCTAACAACATGCTCCTCTACTTGTCTCCATTCTTCTCCTCTTCTTCTTTATTTCCATCCTCGCCCACTACCATCACATCATCTTTCTCCTGTTCCTCCTTCCCTCCATCCTCTCCTTCCTTCCCTTCATCTTCTCCCTCGGCCCCGTCCTCCTCGACAACAACTGCATCCTCTACAACCGCATCACCGTCACCTCCCTCTCTACCCTCCGTCTTCCCTTCTGCGCTTTCAGAAGGGTTAGAGGAGCTCTCTCCTGTATAAGTCCTCGCTGGTTTCTTGTAGGCCTCGACCGGTCCTCCCACCATCCGGAGGATGTGCTGCCGGTCGTTCTTAGCGACGTAAGAGCGCAGGGACGTCTTCCCTCTCCATGCTACCACGATGAACGGCGACTCCGGTTCCGCTCCACTGCAGATAACAAACAACCATCATCAAGTTAACTACTAAATATAAACTTCTCTGCACCTTTTGCACCAGGACAAACACATGGCCTCATTAAATTTGAGCGTGTACATGAGCTTGACAAGTCTACTCACAAGTGATATATATTGTATTTATATCTATTGAGAGTGTATGATGCTTCACTATAATATAGTGACATTGAAAACCCTCAAAAAGAGAGCAAAGCATTTCTGAGTGACTGGTACCCTTTGCAACAAGAAAGTGTGCCCTGTTGTTGTGATTGGACATCATCAATGGAGTCATACTATTAACTCCCTATCCTGTATAAGACAGTTCATAGTTGCAGTCCGAGTATGAGCAGATAAAGGTCATTGCAGACCAAATTGTGAAATACACAGAGACAAAATACTGGATATGTACTCATGAAAGTTATATAATCATTATTCTTTTTTGCACAAGCAGTGCACTCCATGATACACAGGTGGAAGTATTTTTTTGAAAAGGCGAAACAAAGGCTATTTATGTAGCACTTCCATCTCTGTAAGAGTGATTATTTCAAAAAGTGCAAAGTGGGACCTCTTCATGTTTTGAAGATCTGTGGATATTCAGGGCTATTTGGGACATGTGCTAACTGTGAACTGGTCTGTTAAGAAAAGCTATTCATCATTCAAATTAATAAAATGATTTGATGATTAAACTAGGTCAAACTTTCCACTTTTACATGATTCTAAAAAAGTACTTACTTCTCTGTTTTAGGGTAGTAGGTGAGAATGACTGCTCCCATGGCTGCATGACACAATGAAAAGGGAAAATAAATGAAACAATTTATATTACATGCCAAGTACAGTACATGCAACAATCATAACAACACCTGAGGGTGTTTCACAAAGACTAAGATCGACTTTAAGTTTGGCTTAACTATGACAGGCCTTTCATGCCACTGCTTGCTCTCACCATTTACTGGCTCTGGTCTCTCAAGGGACGTACAAATCTACAGAATTTACATTTTTCGATAATTCATTATTGAAGGAAAAAATATTATCTAAAGATCATGATGGTGAGAGCAAACAGTGGCTTGAATGGCCTGCCATACTTAAGTCCAACTTAAAGTCGATTTTAGCCTTTGTGAAACACTCCCCATGACAAGTTTCTCAAATCTAAACAATCTTAACTCTCTGTCATGTGATCTGAGGTGCAGTAAGTCTGCAACATCACGGGCAGTAATAAAAAAAGGCCATTTTCGTAATGTAATCAAAGTCAATGCACAAATCTTTGTTAAAGTGCCTGGTTACAAAAAGTTTGATTCACCTGTTAAGGATAATTGTATTTCAATAGTCAGAATGTTGATTGCATACATTGATTTATCGTAGGCCAAACATTATGGCTTGTCCTACCTAACAACATTGCGTATTTCTTCAGGGTTTCCCTGATTCCTTCTGGGAAGTTTTCAACTAAGGGAGCTTTTTCCCATACCTTAATTTTGACCCGAAAAGCACACACGAAGGCATCCTCATCGTGACTACCAAGCATCACTAAATTGAACTTGGATTATTGCACAATGTAGAATTTGAGTATCTTGTGAAGGACACAGAGATAATGTCCTTTGGCAAGACATTGATCTACATTTGCCACTCTCCACCCAGGTGTTAAATGGGTACCCAGTAGGATGCGAAAGTTAACGTGATGAGATGAGCAAGTGTGTGCTAGTAAAATGACGCCTAGCTGGAATGCTCCCTAGGGAGTGGAGAATGTGCATACATTGTGTGCAGGTAAGCCTGAATCTGATGACCAGGGTACTCATATATCTGTAAAGCGCTTTGAGAGGGCCTTTGGTCCTGAAATGCGCAATAGAAGAACAAAATATTATTATTATTATTATCAATATAATAGTTGACTTACGTGTTTCCTCCAGTATATCCCTGATGCCTTCTGAGAAGTGTTTGGTGAAGGGTGCTTCCTCGGAGAAGAGAGTGATCACATCCTCCCTTGTAATGGTAAGCTTCCTCATTCTCAGGTAAGGGTACAGTACATTGATGCCCTGGTAAGGTGTAAGAAATGGTCACATTCTCACATCTTCCAGCACTGATTTACATTTAAAAGGTGATTAGTAACCCTATTTCAGAACTCCAAGAATTACTGAACAAATTGCTTTACGATTGCCAAACTAGTAGTCATATAAGAAATGCTTGAATATTTCATTGACCAATTGCTATAGTAGATATGAAGATATTTGGAAGTGACTAGCTGGATGCGTGCACATGAAAGTTTGCACACTGTGTATCCTCCTTTATTAAGTTACAAAATTGTCATGAAATATTACCTCCGATATAAATGATGGAAGCTTTGTATCAAATATTTGGACACCACCTACCTTCACAGGCTTTCAATATTATATATGGTATATTACACATTTTCCAAAGACTCTGGCCCCAGAATCTTAGGTTGAGTACTCAACACATCCCAATATGAATGGCTGGCTATAAAAGGGCAACAGTCCAATGGCTATATCCATTACTGCTAACCCTCAACAACAAAAAACAGAAATCTCTCAGAGCAAAATAGGATAAAACTGGATTCTGTACGCTTGCATTCAGAAGTTTGTAGAAGAAAGAGAGACATCTAGGCTTCATAACATTTGGAAATCACTCCTCCAATTTTCTAGGACTACACAAGCCTTTCACGATGAATGTCATGCAATGAATGCCAAACAAACCTCTTGTGAAAGCCTAAAATCACAGGCCACCTCGCGGGCATCGCTCCTTGCCAAGACACGCACCCCAGAGTTGATGACCTGAGAAAATATAATGAGGTTAAAAAGATATTTTAAAGAAAATTTATGGGGACAAATTACAATACATGACACATAGTAAATGTGACGAACAAACTAAGTCTATTGATTGGTCCAATAAACTCAAGCGTAGGTAAATAGACTCAAGCATAGGCAAATAATCAGGGTACGTTGTACATTGTAAAGCGCTTTGAGAGGGCCTTCGGTCCTGAAATGCGCTATAAAAGAATGAACTATTATTATTATTATTATGATGCCCTATAAAATCTACAGAATTTATATTTGTTGATAATTCATTATTGAATGAAACAATAGTATCTAAAGATCATAATGGTGAGAGCCATCGGTAGCAAGAATGGCCTGCCATAGTTCAAGTCCAACTTAAGTCGATCTTAGTCTCTGTGAAACACTCCCCTGCATAAATTGTCGCAGGAGCAAACATTAGGGACCCATTTTACAAAACTTGTCATCAGTAACAAATGACAGTCTTTGCTAAAAGCTACTGAAATCCTTGCTTCTGATTGGCTATCAGCAGATTTGTCACTGACTTTTGTCATTTGTCATTGAAAAAAGGCTTTGTGAAACATGTCCCGGGTCATCGTACCTTGAGCCTATCTATATTGTGTTCCAAGATGCCCTTGATGAGTTTGTTGGTAAGGTAGAGGTTACGTTTCTTGCCGACGTGGCATCGGGTCAGGAGTTGAGTGATGGGGAAGGAGTCTTCCACATCGTAGAACTTCCTGTGAAAAATGAAAGAGGAAAAGAAATATAGAAGTTATGTTTGGTATAATCTTAGTTCACTTGTCTTTTAAGTAGTGAAATGCAAAACATTATTCCTCTATTTCCTTCTTTTCTACGAGCTCTCAAGCATTTAGAAACTATGAAACATATAATCGCTTTAAAAAAAATCAGTCTTGATCTCCATAATAAGAAATGGCAGATATTTTGTTAAGTAATTTTTGTTGATGAGTTAACTACGGTAGTACAATATATTTCATATATATTCTTTGTCTATACGAACATGTTATGATTATGTATGAGAACTTTTTCAATAAAAAATTCCTTTGGTTCCTACATTTTTCTGACTCCAAGAATTTGTCATATTTTTACAGTGTCCTAAGTAAAATGTGGTTTCTATCCTTAAACACCTTGGCCCATCTTCCTAAAACATTACTTCGCTACTAATGTTTTGAGTTGCACCATGCTTATCACAAATATATTGCTACATTTACATCTATCAAATGATATTAGCATGAACCTTGTAATCCCAATCATAGAGCTTAGCATGGCCAAGAGAGCACCAAGATAACCCAGCATGGATTAAGGATTTAGGATTAGGATCCATTTAGTATGCCATGTTGGTATTCAGCCTTTTAAGATAATCTCTTTCTTTCTTGTAACGTTCTTGTCATTTTGTCAAGGACTGCTATTCATCTCACTGATCGTTCCCCCAGGTCAGTAAAATCAATGGTACAACAATTGGCTTTAAGTTGTGAGTTTCACCTTGTCTGACCTTGCCCCTATGTTTGAACGTGATATTGATTAACGAAGCCATAGTCTGGTATTGATTAAATAAGCCATCTTATGGTATTAACTAATCCATATGATGTAATTGATTAGTTGATCCCTATATAAGGGAGAGAGAGAGTGGTAAGAGCTTACATGATGATTAACTAAGCCATCTTATGGTATTAACGAATCCATATGATGGTATTGAATAGTTAATCCCTATGAGAGAGAGGGAGAGTGGTATGAGCTTACTTGATGGGAGGCCAGATCTCCTCACTCTCCTTGAAGTACACAAAGGGATCTTCCTTGAAGTTCGAAAACCTTGGCTTCTTGGCTGGAGGTCTGTTGCAAATAAGATACAAAAAAAAAGTGCATGACACTGAATAAAGGACGTTATATTGAACTTTTCAAAAGTTTATTTCTTCCTTTGAAGTACCTGGGCTATTTTAACTCAATGTATACTTAACATGCAATCAATCAAGTGGTCTTCCTTTCAACTTGCTGGTCTTAACTTCTTGACTTGGGGTCTTTTGCCAATTTGATAGAAAAAAAACAAGAAAAGGACAATGGCTAAGAAACATTGTTGGAACCACTTAGAGATATCAATCATGTATACAAGGAGTTTTCCTTGTACTTGTAACTTTATAACCTTGGTTTTTTGGCTGGCAGTCTGTTACAAATTTAAAACGAAGCAGATGACAGTGAGTAATTAACACTTTTAGAACTATTCAAAGATATTCATTCATGCACAGAACGAGTATTTCTTCCAACTTGAAAACCGGGGCTTCTTGGCTGGGTGTTTGTAACCAATTTGATACAAAGTAAATGACAATGAATACTTTTCCTAATAGTGCATAATCTATACTCTTCCGAATGTCTTCTTGGTTGGGGAGGGGGTGGAATTATGCTGCCAATTTGATATAGTGAATAATGAACATTGTTTAACTGTAATAAAACATTCTATCATGCAAAATAGAATATTCTATGCCACTGCAACTGTGGTCAATATACATTTAAGTGACATTCTTTTCTTAAAATGGTATAAACCATAGTTAGTATTGTGTCAATGTATACTATTCATCAAAACAATAGCTAACAGAGGCTTACTGCCAAATTTGAATGCAAATACTCCCCCCCCCCCCTCCCCAAGCCATGCAGACCATGTAACAAAACAAACATTACTGTAAAAAAATCTCTATTCATATTCACATGGATTCCATCATACATCATCTGCACCTTTGAAATGCTAGCTTTTGTTTTTCTTCCCAAGCATCCTTCCTCCCTCTTTAAATTTGATACAATGTGTTTTCACCATGCCCATTTTCAAAAGCACTCAATAAATATTGGGTTTGTGTGTTTCTATTACCCAAGATGCTTATATTCGCCTTTAGTCAACAGAGATGTACAATACATGTAGGTAAAAGCAAAGAAATACCCTGATTGTGATCCATTTGCATCTGATGATTTTTGTTCTGAGTTTTCTGTCGTTGTACTCTCTTGGCTGGTTGTAGTCTCTTGGCTGGTTGTAGTCTCTTGGCTGGTTGTACTCTCTTGGCTTGTATCATGAGTTGATGCACCTGGTTTGTTGGTTTCACTGGTCTCCACTGCAGATGATTGGTCAGAAGTGGTGTCTTCTGCAATAACAATATTAGAAATAATAATAATGATAATAAAAATGCAATGAAACCTGTATATAAAGACTGTTAAAGGGAGACAAGAAAATTTGTCGTTTTGGGCAGGTTTGTTTAGGACATGTTTCAATGAGAAACCATTTTCAAGGGATACAAAAAGTATAGTCTGTATAAACATAAATGGACTTTCTGTACTGGTGGTCGCTAAAACAGGTTTTACTGTAGCTATATCTTATAAAGTACTTTACCGGTTACAACGTAACCGACTAAAGGGCTTAGAGTATTAGCACCCATGCCATTGGTTTTGAACTATCCACTCCCTTCAAGAGCATTCCAGCCAGTCAATTTTTTTTTTTTTAAGTTACAGCCTAATTTGTCATTTTGAAATTTAAGACACATCAAATTCCTTTTAAATCATCGCTCACACAGGATGTGATAAACTTCCTCAGAAAAAAATAAAATAGAAATTTTGTGGAGTTTCTGAACTATTCTCCATTATGTCCTATTATGTACCTTGTGCGCTTTCTTGGCTACTGTCCTTGCCTTGTTTCATCCATGGTAACGGCCGCGTCTTTTGGAGGACAGCCACAAAGAAGCCTCCGGTATCTTGGTCGTGGGGAAGGATGCGAACACTGCAGTAACAATAAAAAGGAAAATATTTTGTTTTAGAATAAAATTTATCACTTATCATGTGATTTACCTATGCACAAAGCTTACTATCCAATTAAGACTGTTGAGCATTATTATCATTAGGTATTTGGCGTCACCTGTGCCCGAGAGGCGAAAAGCGAACTGATTCACTGTAACCTTCTGGTCTCTCCTCTTGGTATAACTGATTGGGGTGTGCAGGTGGACCACTACACCGGGATTTCCCCCCAGAGCATCGTCTGAATGAATGAGTGTGCTGTAGCAGGACACCCATGTCCCTCTCACTGATATTCACAACTCAAAACTGGTGCCACATTATTAACACAATTGTTATTTATGAATATCTATGGTTGGTTTACAAATATCAATAAATCAATGGTAAGTAGGTTCTTTTGTCTGCCACACTTGACACCCCTGGCAGTCCAGTATCCTCCACTTTCTCCACACATACAAGGAACACAATTCAAAGCAGGTTCATGAAGCATTTAAATTAGTTACATGCAGATTTAATGGAATAAAGTTTGTATCATAATGAACAATGATTTCAGGAACTATACCATCAATAAAAATCATGTCTCAAAATATTTTTTTCCTGCTTGTTCAAAAGCTTGACAACTTTTTAACTCACCACCTAGTTAGATTGATATTCTTTGCGTCCTCTTCAGATGGAGGCCAGAAAGAAGGTTTATATCTCCTGCTCTTATCCGGCTGTTCTCTCTCTTCAACATCCTCCATTGAAGTGAAGATCTCACCCTTGTCGTCTATCACCTATATTTCAAACGATAACCAGCAAAGAATGAAGCAAACATATCATGCATTTACAATTTACACCCCCCAAGTGGAAAGAAACAAATCTGGGGAGCTTTTCACGATACCGTCATCTGTACAAGATCATCAATATCCCATTGAAATGCAAGTACTGCAATTATCATGTGTTCCAATGGGATGGGATGTTGGTGAACTTATACTTATTACAGTTTTGTGAAATGATGCCCAGGTCAAGTCAATTCATATCCTGTTCATTATGCTGCTGTTAACTATAGAAGAGGAATGGCAAAAAATTTGTCATCACATCTGCATCCCAAATATAGATGATTTTGGTCTAAAACTATCATCATTTGACAGACAGAAACCATCAACAGAAAAAAATATCATAAGAAGCACAAGAAAAGCTATAAAAACTATGTTTACTTGGCCAATGTATCGTGGTATTGTGTAATATGAAATAAATAAGTACTTGACAAGAGCTCAATCAATTTCAATTTTAATTATTCATGTTTACAACAAAACATTACAAATCAATCATAAGCATTTACAACAAATGTAGAAATACATGTTGGAAACAGAAGGGTCCACTAAAAGCAATGCTTGTACAAGTGTGAACACCTCAAATGATACTTCAGAATAATGAGTAATATAATTAACAAGTCTGTAACTACAAAAGGAGCTACAAAATAGGGGGAAAAGAGGGGGATGCCAACAGAGACGAGAACGAGACAAGACAATACTTTACATGACAAAGATAGAAGAACACATTCATAATACAAGGAGTAGACAATGCCAAAAAAAGAAGTGAGAGTTCAGGGGTACAGAAAATAATACAAAATGATGAGCTGCATGTGGGGTTGAGAAGAAGATTAGGAAAGAGAAACATGCTTTAGAAAGGAGATAAGCATGAGAAGGCACAATATAATATATCAAATTACCTTCCATGATGTTCTTCCTGGCTGACGTTTCAGTCCAGGAAGCTCATTTGATACATCCACTAACTCCACAGCTCCTGCAGGTACAGAATAAAGTGAACAGTGAACTTTTTGAGGTAAAATCAGGAAGACAACAGTATATTCAAATTGCCCAAGTTTTGCAAGTAAACTAATTGCACACTTGCTGCATCCTCAACAGGATGACAGAGGAATTAATGAAGTACTAAATGGCTTTCTCCAGACAACATGTGACAGACAGGGACCCGTTTCAGCCTTTTTTCAATGACAAATGACAAAAATCAGTGACAAATCCGCTGATAACCAATCAGAAGCAAGGATTTCACTAGCTTGTAACAAAAACTGTAATTTGTTACTGATGACAAGTTTTGTGAAATGGGGCCCTGGTTTCAAACCTTGCTCTCAACCCTCATCTTTTTTTGGTTTACTTACCTTCACTTTGTTTGAGGACACTAGCAATGACGGCTTCATTCTCAACAGGATTGAATGAACACGTCGAGTAGACCAGGCGTCCGCCGACAGCTAAGAGCTCTATCCCTCTTAGGAGGATCCTTCGCTGGAGCCTAGGAAAGGAATATATTGACATTCAGTTTCAGTTTTATTTTTCATTTCCAACAGACAAGAAATCAGATATACAATTCAACATTCAATAATATAATATATTTCACATGGTTTAAAGTTATGAAATAGAAAGTATACATAAATATCCATGTATCAACCTAAAGGAAATATCTTTACTACAGTTGCAACGTTTTTATTATTTTTTTTATTGTTTTCATCACTTTATTTGTCTGTACACCATGAGCATGTTATCTTTTTATAGTGCACTTGCTATTACAGATGGAAGTCCCCTCTATGATAAAATAGCTGCATGTGCAAGAGGTTTGTGTACTGTTAATTTACATTGAGAGGTCAAAATATAAGAGTTCAGAAATATGATCTCAACACTTCAAAAATTGTTGTTGCCCTTTTATCTGTGATAAGGTTAACTCAACGATGCCACCTATAAAGATATTCCAGAGATATCACTGACTGACATTTGAAATTTAATGATAAATAAATTGTAGTTAATATTCCCTGATAGATGGGAAATGTTTAACAATGCAGATATGTTGAAAGCTCCCTCATAAGGGGAGTGTTAATGGTGTCATCAGGCAGCGGATGGTTTACTTACGGGTGAAGGTTGATACCACTAAGGGGTGTCCATTTCTTCCAAATGGCACAGTTCTTTCTCATTGTACCATCTCCCCTGCAAAGGAAATACAAGAATATGAAAGTAGAATGCATAATTAGAATGGCTTCCAATACACCTTTTCTATTTGTTTCATTACTTCCTTACTGAGCACTTTGAGAGACTATAGAAATATCTGTGATCAAAACAAAGTCAAATGGTGAACAGGGTTTTTAGCATGCTGCCCCTAAGCTATGGAATGGTATCCTCCATAATGTGAGGCTAGTTAAGATAATTCAACAATTCAAAAGTGCTCTTAAAACATATTTATCTAATTCATATTTATACTCATTAGTCAAAGACATTTTCCTGCAGCTTTTCTATTAGTTTCACTTTTTTTCTTACTTTTTCCTAAGCTCTTTGAGAACTTTTACAAAGATATAATACAATATGTAAGAACTTTTCTATTATTATTATTATTACATCAAATCTAACATAATATACAGGACATAAGCTGTAACTGAACGATGATAGTAGCACTACAGTCATGACTTCAAATTTAGAAGAAAGAGAGATGGATGCTCTATTTCAATTTAGAGCACTGGTGCTCTGGTTCAAAATGTGATAGAATGAGTTATGGCTTATCAGCTTTACATACGACTCCTTTAAAAGAAAAGAAAATACTGAAATTGCATTCTGAACAAAGTGACTTGTGAGTAGCCAAATCAATGCACAAGCATAAAATGTAATCCTGAACCGTTTGAACATCTCCTATAGACCTTGGGAGATGATTACATATTTCTGAAAATTTAGGTTTTGTTTTGAAAATTGGTCCCATTTACAATGGATTAGAACCCATTGATCCGAAAGCTAATCTTTTACAATAAGTTCTGCACAATAATGCACAAGTCAGCAATTTCAATTTCTGTTGTTGTATAACAAACCCTTGGTATTATTTAATTGAAATGACTCTAATGATATGGAAACACTTACCCGCAGGGAACGTCACACAGTATCCTATCATATTCAATGTTGGTCATCTCTCCGTTTGGTCCCGGAACCTGTAACCGCGGAAACACTGATGCATCATGGTTAACGACCATACAGCAGGGACTGTTGAGTCGCTTGGCCTGGTGTACCATGATGTAGCAGCGTTTGTTGTCATCGTCGTTACCAATCACGAAGCCCTCTGGGGGTAAAGAATGATCATAATCAAATATCTTGCATTTAGCAACAGTCATCATTCACAGGAGATGGCGCTATTACTCCAGGGGAATGTTTCACAAAGACTAAGATCGACTTTAAGTTGGACTTAACTATGGCAGGCTGTTCATGCCACTGTGTCCTTCACCATTACGATGTTTAGATAATATTTTTTCCTTCAATAATTACTAGATAATTTTGTAGATTTATGACCATGATTTGTACGTCCCTTGAGAGACCAATGCCAGTAAATGGTGAGAGCAATCAGTGGCATGAACGGGGTGCCATAGTTAAGTCCAACTTAAAGGCGATCTCAGTCTTCGTGAAACACCCCCCTGGTGATCATGATTGTGATCATTATAATGCCATCTTCTCTGACTGCTGACTGTTCCAGGACAAGTTAGAAAAAACATTCAGAAAATCAAGGTTTGAAGGTAAGAAAAGACTTCAAAACACAAAAATCCATCTTAAATGATTCTATCTAGGTCTTAAAATTGTTGTCCAGTTCATGACATAGCAAATTATTGCTGTAAAATGTCAAATTTAAGCAGTTTTTCTTCACAACAGCATGCCATTGTGCCTTCTGTCCTATATGATTAGACTTTGTTTGTACACTGTATTTGGTATGTTAACCACCCAACTGTTAACAATGGTCAAACAGAAATAATTGAGATATTAGAGCACTAAATAGCATCTGGCCATCCTCATTTATTGTTCAGCATGGACCATCTCACTCAGCCGAGCCATCCTAAACACAGGAGTAGCACACATGTCTATGACCTTATCTAGAAACTTTCCCTACCTACCAGTAGGGTGTAATCGTCCTTTCAGATATCGAGGATTCAGTGACACAAAGACGTTACTCCATATTTCGCCAAAATGAGTATTTGAAGAAAACATGTGGGCTTTCCAGGAAACACAAAGACTTAACTCCTACCAACACCCCATTGAAGTCAATGGCTAGTGAAACATAGACTTAAGGCCCAAGTGCTCAGTGACACATATACAACTTTTTCTCAAAATGGAGTTACGTCTTTGTGTCACTGACCTCTCAATATAGTCCTCCATGGCTAACCATACTTCGTACAAGCATTACCTGGCCATCCAAAGGTCTGTTCAGCATGAAGCATCTCAATGAGCTGAGCCGTCTTAGACCCCGGAGCGGCACACATGTCCAGGACCTTGTGGTGAGGTTTGACCTGGAGTAAGAGAGGCGGAATCATGCTCACGCTCTCCTGACGACTTATGTTACCCTGCGAATTGGCAACAAAGAATTTAAATCACTACATGAAGAGTGCATGTGTGCATCAATATTCAAATTGATAAGGGCTAAGGATAATTTTGTAAAACTCATTAACTGATGAAATAAGGACGACAAATATAGAATACAGAATCAACCTCTGAAGAAAAAAATTGATATGTAAGCTTACGGTCGCACCATGTGAGAGAGATGGGGAGGATTGAGGAGTCTTGAAAAGGACTGTCTTCTGCTAATCAAAGAGTCAACATTTCATCATATTGGTACTCACACTCTCAGTCTCAGAGATGAGGAATAGATGAAGTTTCTCCAAGGTTGGCATCTTACGGATGTTCTTCCTGCTTAGGCCGATCTGCCAGGCCAAGTCATCAGGATACCTAAACACACACAATGAGACAAATGAAACTAGGGTTATAATGATTCCATATAAAAGAGAGTGGTAAAACATGTAAAAAAGAAGGTTGAGTTCTGGGGAGAGATGAACAAGAATTTGTGAGGATTTTCATTGTTTTTATGCAAATGTGGAAGAGCATCAGAGAAAACATGTTTCCAGAAAAGCATGGCTCTTCAAATGCCTTCATGAACCTGAATGCGAATTCAAATATTAGAAAAATTGATGTTGGTAGAGTAATAATCCTCCTTTAATTTGATTTTCATTTTATCATATCTTATTGACGGTGTATACGACAACTTGGAGCAATAAAAAGTGTCCACTAACAGATTTAAATATGCATACCTACCATGGTATTGCCGATGGTCTTGTTTCCTTTGCGTCTTCTGCTTCAGACTTCAGCAGCTCATTGAAACATTCTCCTTTAAGGTACCTCAGCACCTGGGCTGCTTGACTGCAAGAGTGAGTGAAAGGGAAAATGCTTACAGTAAAAATGATTTTTAGTGGCCATCTCTCATTAAAAGTGTACCAATCACCTCAAAAAATTGTTTGTGCACAACTAGAATTTATAAGATCCATCTCAGTACTCTTCACCTGGCTTTCTATTGGCTGACAAATATTGGTGTACAAAGAAAATAAAGAATAACTTATAACTGAGCATATGGAATCCAAAGAGGTCAAAAGGTGCTTTGAGTACTCTACTTACAAATTGCTTTTATGTTAACTGACAGTGCATTAAAAAAACAAAAAACATAGCGATTATGTTCACGTGTATCTGGCCATATGTCTGGATGTGTACACAGTACACGACTACCAAAATACACACTTATGCACAGCCTTTAGTGCATTTATACTTGCTAACTCTCTTTACAGAGGTAATTTTTAAAACTCATGTTTTACATCTAGAATCAATGCACATGGACCTCTTAATGTGAATTGAGCGTCAGAGGGATTACGGGGAAGGATGGATGGGGTAGTACCCTTAGTCCCTTACCCTCTAAATCCTGTGATCCTGAAGGTTGCAGGTAGATGTGCTTTTAGACAAGTCATGAACTGGTCCCACTCCCCCTCAGGCACTATATTTTGCTCCTGTGAGAAACAATGAGATAAAGGGGATGGGGTGGAAGGTTAGGATGAGGGGACGGAAAGAGAAAGAGAGTGAGTAAGAGAGAGAGAGAGAGAGAGAGAGAGAGCGAGAGAGAGAGAAAGAAAGAAAAAGAAAAAGAGAGATAAAAAGAAAGAGAAAGAGATAAAGAGAAAGAGAAAGAGAAATAGAGAGAGAGAGAGAGAGAAAAAGAGAAAGAGAGAGAGAGAGAGAGAGAGAGAAGAGAGAAAGAAAGAGAGAGGGTTAGATCATGGCGTTGGGAAAAGGGGAGATTTAAAAAAAACATGAGAGTGGAAAGGGCAGGACAAAAGAAATCAAAGAGATACAAAACATTACAATGAAAACAAATTTAATGAGAGAAATTCTATATCACAATAAATGCGTCTCTATTCTCACAAAAAAAAATCTTTGTGTCATATGACACTTTTTCATTCAATTAGGATTAACACTTTGTTACATCACTTTTAATGTTTAGGGAACTTTATCAACACAAATAAAAATTAACTTTTCTGCATCAAATTTTTCGATTCTCTGTTAAAAAACATTAAATTTGCAGTCATCTATTCTATTCAAAACCTGACCTCACCTTGTAATATTTTTCAAAGGCTGGGTTATTCATGACGACGCTAGCGTATCCAGCTCCTGCTTGACCGCTGTTGTTAGAGTAACGCCATTTGCCATTGTCTTTAGCACCGTCTTTACCATCGCCTCCCTAAAATTTAGAATTGGTATTGAAATAAAAGCAAAATATCTGGTTCTTCACTCTCGCTTTCTGTATCTTTGCTTTAATAATCTCAAGGCTTCCTCAAATTAGTGAGCTGCAAACTGGCTTTTTTTTTGGGGGGGGGGCGGGGCAAGATGATTCATGGAAAATCATACAAGGTACATGCTGAAGTTTGAGTTTTTTTAATGTTTGTTTGTTTTATTTATTTGCCATGTAAACTAATTGTTCAGATGATAAAATTCAATGGGTTACATCGACATATAATACATAGTAGGAACAGTGCATAAACAAAAAATGTTTGAAGTGCAACGTCCCTAAAATAACAGCTGGTAATTATTAGGTTTAGATCATTGAACATGGCTTAAAATAAGACATGCCGTCATTACAAAACTAAACAAAATACGAAATACAATATATGTGCAAAAATAAGATGTGCAGTTTTATTTATTTAGTATCTTTTAATTAGAAATAGAATAAGAATTACATGACATCAGGAACACATGACATTTCTTATTAATTATTTGACCGATTTTAAAATGCTTTTTATGAGAAGAAAGAAGAGTCACTGCAATATTGATCGGGAAGGGGTGATTTCAGACGCATTTTAGATATTGTTTGCCTGCCTCTTTGTGCAGGTCTATGAGGGCCAGTTAACAGTAGGGGCGCTGGTACGAGAATAAGGATCGTCCGCATAAACGAGGATCATCTTCGTAAACGCAGATAGAAGCGTCCTAAAAAATAAGGATCGTCCGCATAAACGAGGATCGCCTTCAAAAAACGCACATAAAAGCGTCCATATTTTCGCGAATGATTCTTATATCTGATCCGGCATTGGCAATGCAAAAAAGAGGATTCTGCGATGATGCTCCTTGATGCATTTCACACATACTTTGCACAGAGACTTTCACGTTATGAACTATAAATCCTTTAGAAGATGGACAACCTGTAAAAAAAGACAGTGAACTGGGGGTATTTTATTAAACGGAATCCATTTTTGGCATTGCCAGCATGCGGATCGGAAACCTTACACCTGCCAAGCACCTTGAAAAAAACGTTCGCGAAAATGCAGACGATCGTTATTTTTTAGGACGCAATTTGTCCGCGTTTACGACTGTACGAGGATATCCTCGTTTAAGCGGACGATCTTTATTCTTGGACCAGCGCCCCTACTGGTTAAAGGTAATACAAAGTTTTGGGAAATTTTGAAAAATTGGGTGGATAGTGATTTTTTAAATTTTGATATATATTTGGATGTTCATGTTACAGCTTAGCTCCCTTTTCACGTGTTTTCCATTGTGTAGAGATCGTGAATTCACACGCTACATGTGAAAAGGGAGCTAAGCTGTAACGGTCTGGTAAGAAAATAGCTATTATTTCCTTATTTTTACCTCCGATTTTTAAATTCAGGATGTAGTTACGATTTCAACTAACATAAAATTCATCAAAGCCACTGTCCAATATTGGTCGGGTGCGACAAAGTGTGATTTTGGACACATTTGAGATGTTGTTTACCTACCTCTCCGTGCAGTGGTATGGGAGCCGGTTAAGGCTCCCTTGAATAATATCATAAAAACATTTCAAGGGAGCCCTTATTAAAGGCTAATTCTGATTAGTATTTTAGGCCCTACATTTTTTATTCCAATATCCAACAAAAATGGTGAAAAACGATCCCAAATTGATAATTGAAAAATCGTTCAGACACCCTACTTGTACATTTTGAGAATCAATACAGGGTATCCTTACTTTTTATCCCACACAAAAAGTATGCTAATGCTCCAAGTCCAATGAGCTTGAGCCGAGTTGAGTGGGCGCTGCGCGCTGGACCCTATACTAACTGACCAACGTGAATTCCAATATCTCGGACTACAATAATTGAATAAATTACAAAGAGGATCAGGTGTACATAAAACATCGTTCAATTTTCATTACCTCCTTCTTCTGCTGATTCCTTATACGTCTCTTTTTCCTTCCCATCGTCTCTTTGGTACCAGATGACAAAGTAATGGAATATAATGAACTAAAATGTCTAACTTTGGGGATCAAAGAGCTACTGATTTTACGCACAACACATGCGGTGGCACTCATAGTCTTAACACGAGTTGTTATATTTATAGCTAATAAGAGGTCTTTGGTCTTATCTTTTGATTATCAATTTTTTTTTCTTTCTTTGATCACTGCACAAAATTAGGATAACATATACCAAATTTTAGGTCCTTTGATCATACATTATTTTTTTTATTTTAGGAATGGAGTAAAGCATTCGATTCCAAAAAAGTTCAGCACTTGTCGCTGTACATCAAAGTGAGACTGATATAAGACTACCTCTTGCTCATGATACAGATAACGCAGATAAACAAAATCAATTTGAAGTTGATATTTTCGAACATAATTATAACAGGCTTTATATTATGCAGAAGCGCGAACTTCATACTTTGTAAAAGGATTTAAAAAAATAATATAACCAGTGGCGGACCCAGGTGGAGCCGAATCGGCCGTGCCCCCTCCTCCTCCCCCCCCCCCCCCCCTGGCAGCCAAACAAAGAGGAACTCAGCGACAGTCAGGGGAAAAAATAAGATGAGAAAGAAAGTTAACAATGAAAAGGAGAGAGATGGAAATCTTTTTTCCATCTCACCCCACACGTACGAGGCCGAGCTGCGTTCATAAATGTATCAGTGGGGGGGGGGGGGGGCGGTCTGCCGCTGCCCTCCCCCTTTTTGCGGCCTTTGAAAAGGGAAAGGGGGAAAAGAGAAAGCGACGGAAGAAAAAGGAGAAAAGAGAGATAAAGAAATGTAAAAGAGAAGAAAATAAGTAGTTATTAAAATACAAGAAATGTAATGGCAACATGTTTTGCTAATTACGTTGCCTTGAAATGGAAATTTTAGCGTGATTTTGTTTTTCAAGCAGCATGTAGCCTATGTCGTGCAGAAGGCTAGTTTGTCATTAGCAGCGACTCGGTTTTATCCAATCACCGTAAGGTTGAGAATCACGTAGTGGGCGGACTTACCCCGAGGGCGGCCTATAGCCCCGCTCTCCCTCAACATTTTATTGAGAGAGTGAAGCGACCGAGATCCTTGGGGGGGGGGGGGGGGGCAGGGGGCAGGGGGGCAGGGGGGCAGGGGGGGTTATGTGATTTTTTGTTTGTTTATCCATTTATGTATCGGTGGGTTTAAGAAAGAAACAAAAATAGGCTCAAATATTATTCATAATGGTAACCTCGGGGCTGCGTCTCACGAAACCGTCATATTACAAGTTGAGCGACATCCCATTGAAATGTGTTAAACTTGATGGGTGGTATTCTCATAAGTTAAGCCGGGACTAAGTCCATACTAAACAATAATTTTAGTTCACACTTCTATGGAATGCTAGGTTTCATCTTCCTCCTTCAATATTCATGACAAAGATAATCTACCAAAGACTTTGTTAAAATTCAGTTCATACTCATATTGGGTGGTATTCCGGTAGCGCGTACTAAGTTAGCGCGTACTTAGTTAGTTCACACTTTTATGGAGTGCCTGTTGCAAACTAATTTACCCTGTACAGATTATTTTAATCCTTCAATGAAAAGTGTCCAAAAAAATAGTTTTGCAATGAAATGGGAAGAAAAAGATAATATGAGTATGAACTGAATTTTAACAAAGTCTTTGGTAGATTATCTTTGTCATGAATATTGAAGGAGGAAGATGAAACCTAGCATTCCATAGAAGTGTGAACTAAAATTATTGTTTAGTCTGGACTTAGTCCCGGCTTAACTTATGAGAATACCACACATCATCTTTTTCTTCCCATTTCATTGCAAAACTATTTTTTTGGACACTTTTCATTGAAGGATTAAAATAATCTGTACAGGGTAAATTAGTTTGCAACAGGCACTCCATAAAAGTGTGAACTAACTAAGTACGCGCTAACTTAGTACGCGCTACCGGAATACCACCCGATGCACGCATTTCAATAGGATGTCGCTAAACTTGTACTTATGACGGTTTCGTGAGACGCAGCCGAGGCCTGACTGCCTGGACTGATTCCTTGTCGCCCAATCCGCTGAGAAAATAAGCCCTCAACGCTAAAACTGAGACAGTCACTATGTGAAGTAAACATGCGATTATTTTGTTCTAGATGAGGTAGTAAATGGAGAAAGAGATTGAGTACAGAAAAAACATAATAAAACAGAATCTGGAATAGCATTTTACATGTGAGGAGGCCTCAAACCCCCTCAAACCAACTCAAGATTTGAAATGTATACCCCTGTATCTCCACTAAGCACTATCCTAGCTATGTGGGCCTACTGTTCACATTGATTAAACATTGTCACATTTTCATTTCAACCTCTAGGAAGAACAGTGCCATTTTTCAGTCTTATTTTGCTAAAATTACAGTTTCTTTAGGTTCATTATGTATGTACATATATTTGTATATGGAAACTTAAATCAAACCAAACCAAATTAACCAAACTCAATCTAAAATTAAAGCATGAATCAACAATGTGTTCCACTCTGCATGGACTCGTTGAAGATATACACTGTAGCCCTGTAGGCCTACATTGCACGTTGCACATGCATCATATCTTTCTATCATTCGTGCATGGATAATAGAATTTTCAAAAGCATTCAACAAGGAGTAACAGATGGCAAGATAACAATGCACGGACGTCATGCAATACAACATAATTTCAAAAGATACAAGGGCACCGCATGTTCGCTATTATGTGTTTAATATTCTTTACAATTCTCAAACCATGTTTGAACCAATGAGTCCGATGACATGATAACAAACACAAATTCTCAAAAAACATGAGATATAATTATGCAACGAGCATGCCTCGACCGGTCCTGTATAGCGAGCTATAAAATAATTATATGCGCTCCATAAATTCAATAATGACCTTGTTTCTTTACTTTGGAAGGGAAAAAATGAACGCTTATTAGATGTGGTCCAACGGGCAAATAAAATTTAAAAAAAGCAAATAGACTCAATGTCATGGCTATATTCGGTGTAGCTATAACAATAAAACTTTGTCACAGAGAAAGATCATGACCTTGTTTGGCGTGTACAAGAACAAATACAGTAAATCATATTCAGGCTTTGATTTGAAGTAGCTGTAAAAAAAATCTTATACGAAATCAGTTTCTTGCATGGGAAGTAGTCCACTGTTTCCGCTCAATTCAATCCACTGCGAAAATAACAAACCCTCAACGCTAATCTTGAGCTCTCGTATAGGAATCGTATTTCGAGGGGAAATTGCCACGATTTATTCTAGATTGTATCCTGCAGTAGATTGGTTTTTTGAACCACTGAAATAAAAAACAAACGTACACAACCTCACTGGGCATCGCCTTCCGGACAAAAACCACAACTCCCATTTGCACATAATAGTGACCTGTGTTATAAAAGTACATGGTGTCGGGCTTACTTACCCGGATTTCCTTATTTTTCTATGCTCTTTTTTTCCAGCCACTATATACATTTTCTACCAAAATTGTGTGTGTCATCTATTTGTAATCAAGAACATTGTGTGTAAGTTTCGATGGATTCCGTGAGAATCTTTTTTTCCATATGTACCAGAACTCAAGTTTATCTTTAAACCTCGACGACGGGTATGTTACAGTTTTATTTTTCATCCCACACGCAGCACATATTCAAGCCAATGTGTCCGGTCACGTCATGATAATTTTTTTCTTAAAAACATATGATAATTATGTGCATGGAGGACAAAGATGATTGAAGGATACAACAAACATCTTTTTTTTTAAACGGATAAAATCTGGACTAGCATGGGAGTCGAATCCACTCACTATAAATTATGATAAAGTCCATTCCACTCTCACGCAGTGGTTAATTTACTTTGTTGAGAGTGGATTCCATTATTTAAAGCCCCACTGTCCTACTTGTAGCTACTTGCTCCCTCTATATAGAAAACTTCCCCAATCGGTGCCTGTTGGTCCCCCATGATCCTCTTTTTCTTATGTTAGTTGAGAGCTGAGTTAATGAGATAGCCACCTGTCAGTGACCTCGCTGTGTGGTCTAATCCCTTCTGGCCCGGTAGTGTTGACGGTCTTTAAGGGGGATAATTATCTCCAAACTAAAACGATGAGATTCGTATATAACTCCCCAAAGATGTCCACTTCTGAACATTTAGAAAGTGTTCATCCATATGTACAACAGTGTAACGTTAAGAGGAGGAAAAAAAACACTGATGGTGACTTTGCCATCAATATTAACTACCATGGCAACATCACTCAGCAAGCCAATCAAATCAAGGTATCCATGGAAGTTATTATGGCAAAGTTTTATGCAACAGGGCCAACTCAGATGAATATTCATGATCTATGGCTGTAGTAACGCCTTTGTTGGCTTACAGAAACTATTTACCCTTGCCTCTTATTAAGTTTACCCTTAATCTATTTGCCATAAGGATCTAAGGGAAGTGTGAACAAAATGTATAGCCCTTGAATCTGGCACAGTCACGGGGTTTTGAAAGAGCGAGAGAAGAGAGAGTACCGCATTTGTATAATCCGACTCGTTAATCTTCACTTAATTGCTTTCCACAAAAACGTCTTTATTGCGTGGTTTTATTGTACATTGTATTTTCATCTTTGCACACCAGTGTAAGAAGAAAAACATACCAGCTGAAAACCTTTGCATTAGATCTGCAAGAGATAAGACAGTCCTCCTACCGCGATGATGATCCCAACCGACCAGCATATTCTAATATCACAGGAGTATAATAATCCATATACATTCATTTAATCAGACTCTGTGAAATATCATATATGTTTTGGACGGAATTAAGAGAAAATGACACCGTGTTAATGTGCATTTTGTCAATTGCCATACAAAATGTAAATAAGCCCTTTGAATATTTGATGAATGGGTGTGTAGGTCTAAGGTGTAGAAAAACGTTTTTGAAATCCCTACATAATCAGTGATAGTCAGTTTGCACTGCATTTGATATACCATACCACAGATGCAGGTCGCCATTATGAATACACCCCCCCCCCCCCCCGTCTTATACTTATGAAGGTGCCACTTTTGTGAACATGGACCCATATTGTGAGTTATTGACTACTGAGTACAGTTTGATGAGATATTGAGTATTTATAACCAAAAAAAAA